TATTGGTCACATTAGCCTCTCTACTAAAGTTGTTGTTAATAAAGTGTGCTGCACGTTGTTGAACCATCTTGAGCTTATTGATGTATTTAGCCTCAAAGGGATGACATACTACTCAAGCGTACTCCAGGTGTGGACGAACGAGTGCTTGTAAGCAGTTGTTTTCTCCATTTTGGAGCACTGATTTAATTTCTGTGCAACATACCTAGGACCTGGTTCGCCTTCTTTACCATATAATCATAATGGTAATCCCAGATCCCAGATCTTCTTCCTTTTGTCTCCCATGTGCACGATGTAGCATTTCTTTACATGAAATTGCATTGGCCATTCATGGAGTTTATCAGTATCTCCCTGAAGTATGATGCAGTCAGCCTGGTTGTGGAATGTGGATATTTCTGTATAAAAATGCAATTGTCAGCAAAAAGACAAATTTCTGACTGAAGATTATCTGTGATATCTTTGATATAAGTAAAAATAAAAGAGGGCCGAGGACTGTGCCTTGAGGCACACCGGAGTCCACAGAATCCCAGTCAGAACTAGATCCATTGAACACCACTCTTTATTTACGCATCTCCAGAAAGTTGGCAATCTACTTCAGTAGCTTTCCACGTATTCCACACATATGGAGCTTAGCTTTCAGATGCTCATCGCGGACAGTATCAAACGCTTTGGAGAAGTCAAATATGGCTATGTCCACTTGTTTACCAACATTTACTGGCTCAGCCCAGTCGGTGGTTATCAAAACTAGTTGGGTAACACAAGAGTGGTGCTTTTTGAAACCATGTTTAGTTGTCAAAATGTCATGCCCTTCCACGTGTCTACTAATAATATGCAAATGAATTATATGTTGAAGAAGCTTGCATGATATTGAAGTTAAAGAAATTGGCTTATGTTCCTCAATCAGAGTATGAAATTGAAGAACCTTAGCACATAAACTTCTCACATTAAGACTAAGCAGTCGTAGAACTTGATCTTTGCTCTTCTCTTTTTTTGTAGTGAGACTTTGTTCTTTTGCTGCAGGTGCGCGTGGATTTTGGCACTTGGGTGTCACATGTAGAATACTTTCTTGCTTGATCCAAATCACGCCCATGTAATTTGTAAGGAAATCTAACTCCACAATCACTACTAAAAGCAAGATCAACTTCCCCCAATGGTGTGTAGAAATTATCTCCACATAGGTTCAAATTGATGATTGAGCCACTGAAGTTGAGAAAATCGCAGAGGATAAAACCTAGTAAATGACGACTCATTTTGATAAGTATGATTCACACTTAGTATGATACTCATCGCTAGAGACATCACAACATTCAATAGGCGTACAATTCTGACATTTATCACACTCAAGAACTTTGTCTTCATCCCCTACTTCTTTACGACACACGGTACACGGGAAAATGGGTGTGGTAACCACAGTTTCAGTCCCCTTGGGGCCAGGTTGTATCTGGACATCACCACAAATAATGATTAACAGAAGTTTAACAGCAGTGATGATCTTAGGAGACCGTTTTTGTTTTCTTCAGAATGAGAGGGCAGTGAGTAAAAAACTCAGATTATTTTTAAAGAAATAGTCAGTCCCATGGTCTTAAAGCCATAAGTCATCAGATTTAAAGAGATATGCATCAGTTTTGAAGGCGTTTCAGGAAAGATGAGATTTGATAGCGAAAGTGGAATTTCTTTGAAATGTAACTGTACCCTGATTTCACATAACTGGGATGCAAACAAAAACTCATAGGGTTACGAACCCATAAAATGTTGCAGGGTTATAAGTCACTCGGAGTGGTGACTTGCAGTTCTGTAAGTAGGTTTGGGCTAGACACATAAACAGGGCCCCTCGATTGCGTACTCCTCTGTCATGGGCCCTGCCTTCAGATATACTGTACCTGTAGGAATACCTAGATGAATCACGTGACGAATTTGGATTAAATTTGTATAACATTGATTGCCAAATGACAAAATAATGTACGAAAAAGTAAAGCAAAGCATAGAAATAAACAAACCAAATCCAAATTAACAACTTATTAATCTATCTCTCTTAAAGCCATATCTCCCTGTGGGAACTTAAGTACAAATTTTTGGGCGTCTCCCACCCCTTCATCAGGTTTGAATGTTTGAATGTGTCGGTGAAGAACAATCCGACGCGCATTGTGTTTCCCTCGGTGAGCAGCGATGCGCGGGACCCCCGGGCATGCGTCGATGTGCTTCCAATCCCATGGAAACCGGGGTCTTCCATTTTGCATCCTTCATCTCTCTATGATTGTCTGTCCATTCCTTTCTGTTTATTTCGGGTTTAAGTTCTTCAATATACATCGATTTCCATCACCTGCCTGAGCATCACATCGTTGGGGCACCTGTTCAATATTTTTACCTTAATTTCCTGAGACTGCCCCTCGTGTTTCTTTTGCATATGTTCGTGTAATGCTGATGACTTCCCTCTCACGTAATTCGTACTCAAGTAAGTTTCCACAGGGAGATATGGCTTTAAGATCGATATATAAGTTGTCAGGAGAATCCCTGTACAAGGTCAGGAACATCATAAAGTGTATCAAATCCGAATTATTAACTATGGGATATACAAAGGTCGCAAATTTTTTGAGACCAGCTCTTTTGTCCGATTTCGGGCAGCTCGGCTCTGCGTATAAACCCATGGTGCTCAAAAAGGGGGTTCCCCAGCAGCAAGGGGTGAAGTCCCAGGCCAGGCTTCAAGTGGAGCAAGTGACCTAAAATAGCCCCCAGGTTCAGCGCCCAAAAACCCCTGAAATTTGAAAGGCCAGGAGCTGTTTTTAGCTTCTGGGCCAAAAAGCTTAATGTCAACCCCTGGTATAGTGCCATGGCATACAAGGCCTGTTCCCTGTACAGTACTATCCTAAACCGTGGAGCAACTTTTGCACGTCGAACCAGAGTTGTATTTAGAGAGACAAGCGCTAGCTTCAGATTTTGGAAACAAAATGGCTGCTCTTTATGTCAACAGCAGAGTGCATGGCTACTGCACACCAACTGTCCGTGTGCATTGATACATAGACGTACATGCACACCTGCCAGTTTGTTTCCAACAGTGGTGGCAGTCTTGTTGCAACTTTCTCTGTACACAGCTCTTCACTGAGTCACTGTGCATAATTATGCTTCACAGATGTGTGTGAACTGTATGTGTGGTCGAAAGTGCGGCTTGTCGAGTTTGCAGCATCTTGGTGAAATGCCTTTCTTTGTTTTTTCTTCAGTTTTGGAGATGTTTTGGGGGAGTTCAGGATTTATGGATATGAATGAATATTAACAGCTTTTCATAAGCCAATTACATAAATGGAGATATGAATAATTCATTTAGCAGATAATCACCAGCTTCTACATACTAGGAGAGGGATATACAAGTAAACTGCATTGTACATGGGTCCACATGGTGTAACCACATGTATGTACACGTAGGTCTGCAACTACATGACAGCAAATGTTAGTCATTTTCTTAACATTAATTCGTGTTTATCTGTATTTCATTCAGTTGAAATGTAATGGGATCACATGATTGACGACATTTGCCTGAAGAAGTTCTTGGAGCACTCAGTACAGCAATGCACACTGGGAAATCAAAGACTTTCACTCACAGTAAGGGCCGCCACGGTAGCATTCCCTGACTGATGGTTAAACACAACTTGTGTCACCCACTGACCAATGGAATGTGGTTTTCACAATGTTTGAGATTATCATTACCCCAATGGGTTTCGCTGGCTTGTTCAAAACCATGAAAGTGTTGGGTTACCATCTGGTCTTGTTAACGCATGTGTTGCACATGCATGCATGTGTGACGCGCTAAGTATGTACATACATGTACCTGTGAACATGTTTGTGTAGGCACACAACACGAGCCATGCACACAGCGCGGCTTGTAACGGTGATACCTATTTGTGCAGCTTAGAGGCACTGTTGAAGGATTTTTATCATCAGCAGGTCAGCTCTGTCGACAATGCTTTAAATAGCGTCTAAATCAGTTGCAAATGCCACCAGATTTCACAAGCCATGCACACAGCATGGCTTGTAACGGTGATACCTGTTTGTGCAGCTTAGAAGCACTGTTGAAGGAATTTTATCATCAGCAGGTCAGCTCTATCGACAATGCTTTAAATAGCATCTAAATCAGTTGCAAATGCGAGCAGATTTCACGGCCTCCATCTGCGACTTAAGATAGCTCAAAAACTACACACAAAATGTACTTGAACAATTTTGAGTATGCTTTTAAAAACATCAAAAAAGCAATGATTATTATATTCTCAAAATTCGTTCCAGAAAGGTAGAAAAGGCATTGCAAGTCGCTATGTGAATTTGACACTTAATGTGTGCGCTGTACATGTACATGTGTCGCAATCCCATGCACATGTTGGTTGGTTCCCGATCTAAACATACGTTGTTGATGCACTGCGTAAGGACACCAGGGCCATTTATAAATCACGGCATGGGCTTTTTTTTTGCTGCAACCTAAAATGAAGCCTGATACAGAGCTCATACCAGAATTGCTGTGATTTAGAGTGTGATTCGTGCAGCAGGGTGTCTTGCAAAACGCTGAAACTATGGACATCATAATGTTCATGGCTGAACCCCTTGGCGACCACGAGAACCCTGATAGATACATGTACATGTGCTTGTTTTGTGGTGTATGTTTGCCGGGCTGGGCTTGGATGACATATTTATACTACATGTGTGTACGTATGTTCATGAATATTCAGCGCACGTGATTACTAAATTTTCGTAAAAGTGCCGGCGCCTAGATTTTTCCCCATTAGGAGCCAGTGGCCACCAACCAATTTTTTTTTCTGTTTAAAGGGTTTTCTATTGACAATAAGACAAGCCCAGTGCCATGATCAAGACTGACGAGCAAATGGCTTTCGGGTGGACTGGTAAATGGGCGAGGTGCTTATTGGCGAAGTGGTTAACAGTCAAAGTGACCCACAGTGTCTCCTGAAATTTATCCTATCTCATCGGTCGTTTCACAGTGCTACCACCCATCTTCCATTTTGCAGCTCCTGCCAGTCACACCTCCAAGTGGCAGTGCCATAGTTCCAAGGCACTGCGGAAGGAGTTGGTTGACAAGGACAAGCACTGCAGCGGTGAGCACCACCAGCCGCCATGTCGCTGATAATGAAGATCCAGCAGCTGCAGGGCCCAGCCATACAGCAGATGCAGCTGCTGTACCAGCAGAACCGGTTCCCCCTTGAGGTCCGCTACTACTGCGCACCGTGGATCGAGGCCCAGCAGTGGTGGGTTCAGCTTCCATGAGCAATACCTCATTTACAAAATAACAAGGAAAACAGCATTTTTGCTTATTTGGTTGGGGCCGTCTTCAAAAGTCTTTCAACTTATCCCCAGAGGGTTCTGTCTGTAGAAGAGGAAGGAGAGACCCATATCAAGGAGTAGGTGATGAAAAAAATCACTTATAGTTTTAGATTTGGGAGGAAACTCCATACAAACATTCGGGAGGGAGGGAAGGAGGATGAACCCCACAGACTCTGGTAGGGACTGGAAACTTTGATCCAGTTGCCGGGATTTCAAACCCGGGCAAAAGGGCGAGGAAAGAACTGTGGCGTCAACTCGACTTGTACTTTTCTCTTGCAGGGGGAACATTGACGTGGACAGCCCCAGCAGCGAGCCGGCCGCCACCATCCTGCTACAGCAGCTGGTGCAGCAGATCAACCAGAAGGCGGAGGCGCTGACGGGAGAAGATAAGTTCTTCCTCCGCATGAAGCTGAGCAACTTTGCCACCGAGCTCTATGTGAGTGTCAGCACTCGGCTCTTTACCTTTGCTGTAGTCGAGTCCCACGCAAGTCCTTTTCCTATTCACACTCACGAGTCCTTCCACAAGAGGAACACGGTCAGTAGTGATAAAAGAAGGCTTGTCAAAATCCATAGGAAAACCCCGTGACGTCGCTAAAGACTACATGGCTTATGATGGACTAAAAGGTGTAAAGGACGACACGACAGGATTACCATGTATTCTTAGACTCTTTCCTGTTCACAAACATTGCCTACCGTTTGGTGCAGGGGTCAAAATGTGGAGAATGTTGACCCTTAGTTGGCAAGGGCTTTTGCCTCAAAATTCGTTCAGTTCGAAGAAGGGAGGTATTTTCATTAAGCACTTATAAATAGTATTTGTTGTCGTTTTAAGAGTTGTGCACTGTTTCGTTTAAGACTTTGTGAATCACTTGTTTGCTTTTGCATTGATGGCCTGCCAACCATTGGTAAGCAAAGCTATGACTGAGATAAAGTAGGAGAAACGAGAATCTGAAGTTGTTTTTTTTTTGAGCAGGCTGGCAAGATAAAACTAATGTACAGTTTGTAGGTTTTCTACATCTCACTAGTCTGTTTTGGTTGCTGCAGGAGACATACGGCAATGACTCGCTCAAGTTTGTAAGGGTTGTCCGTCATTGTCTTGAGAAGGAACAGAGGCTGGTGGACCAGGACACAGTGAGTATAAACATTTTCTGCTCGGAAATGTTACAGTTGGCTTCCAGAGAGGAAAGAAATTGCTGTGCGGCCACAAAAGCTTGGCTTGAGAAAGTTGCACGACCATCGGTTATGCATACCGTAAATTATGGCCTTACAAGTAGCGTGATTTTTGCCGGTGTCTTGATGTTGGACCTGTGCCCAGCAAGTGTTCTGAGTTTCCTTTGCATTTTTTTTGAAGGTTTTGTCTGTCACTTCCTTTCACTGACCTCAACTTCCAAAAAAAAAACCCCAGTGCCGCGTATAATTTTCCAATATGTCTGTTTTTTTTTTTGTTCAGAATGGCTTGCAGGACAGCTTGGAGCAGGTCATGCCCGTGTCTGATGCACACAATGAGATTGAAAGCACACTGCAGAACCTGAAGTACAAAACTCAGGTGAGTTTGTCTGACTTGATTTATGGATTGGTCGCCAAAGCATCACTGTCACATACACGTGCATGTACGCCATTTCACCAGATTTGTCTTTGTTTCAGATTTAGACATCCAAAGGATGTTGGTTTTGTTTCATATCACAGAAGTGTTGTTGCTTACCAATTTTAAAGCATAGCGACAGGTGTTTCCAGGAAACAAGACCGATGTTCAAACTCGTTAACATTTGGAGAACATTATAATTTTTAGGTCATCATGGACTACACATCCCCACCAGGAAATTTGTGGACATGGTTGAATTTACTATTTAGAAGGGACCTGATAATCAGCAATTACCTTCATTGGTATTCATCCTGGCCTTGTAGTTTTAACAGAGTGCTAAAGTTGCAGCTGGATTTCATAGATGCTTAATTTTTTGGGGGGGTCTGGTCTCGTGAACTTGCATTCATGTGTTTGGTGTACCCCTTCTGGTCACTATTACGCCCCTATGGTTTATGCAAATATTGTGTCCCCATAATGCCGATGTTATTACATGGGTATTGAACTGTCAAAATCTCTGGACTTAAAAAGGTAAAAAATGTCCGTTTGTGCTCAGACCCATAAGTGTCTTGAAACCAAGTATGCTTTTCGATCATAATTTAGTCAGTTACCTTAAGGATGGCTGCAAATGTGGGACTGCACCTTTAAGAGAGTAATGTTGCAGTGAAACTTAAGCAGAGGAAATTGTGAAATATATTTAGGTCAGGGGTTACATTTTTTTGACAGAGTGTGAACAACAGATGTTGCCCATACAGAGTATTGGACATGCTTCTGTGAGCTGGGGGGGGTTGGGAAACGTGTGATAAATCACCCTCTTTATGACTGCCAAAATATTCATAATATCCAGTACTCTGCTAGGAACAGTGTGAAATGACATAATCTGGGATGATATATGCGGTGCTGTACAATTCTTTTCACGTTACTTTGACTATTGTGTTGCCGGTTGACAAGTTTTCTTTTTATCCCTTCAGAGTGTGAAAGAAAGAGACCGTGTCTTGTAATCCATGTACAACCTTTAGTGACTACACATAGGTTATTTTCTGGCTTCTTGTGCGCATTGCGCAGGGCAGCGGGCCAAATTGTAAGGTTACATGTGAAGCACTAAGCCCACTCCTGGCTCCCGGTCAGATATTACTGTAACCACAGCTTGCAAGTATAGTTCAGTTTACTCAATTAATTGATGGGCATATTGATCGATTATTCCATTTCGTTGTTTTATTAAGTTAATTAAAGAATAACTTTGTGACAAGAGAGACCTTTCTTCAGATGGTGACAGAGCATGGCGAAAAGTTCCTCAAACCCAACATTTGGAAAAAAATCTCAAGAAAGGAATTTCGGCCTTTAAAACACGAAGAAAGGTCATAGTTGAAAAGTGGAGGTTGATGAAGTGACTTGTAAAGGTGCATTAGCAGAAGGACCACCCTCACCCCCAAAAAATCCACAAGATGGACTGCTTGCTTCTGAGTTCTTCATTGTCGATTGAATCCAGAGTAAAAAACAGAGAACAAAAGAAAACTCAGTCACATGATCAGTCGGAAAGTGAATAATAACCCCCCAAAAAACACCCCCCCCCTAAAAAGAAAAACTTGCAGGCCTTCACAGCTGTATCTAGCTATGGAAGCTCGCTAATATATGTGAGCTTGTTCAAAGGAGTGGACCAGCTGTGATTTCAAGCCAGTGTAGCTTCCACCGTTCCTGGCATGCCTATTATCACACGGCCCGGAGCCACGAGAATTCCCTTCCATTCAAGCAGCCGGGTCTCAAATTTAGGAGAAAAAAAAAAGCCTATAAAATAACCCACGCAAACACTACCAGCTTTTTCCAGATACGGTTTAATAGATGCTACCCCCGCAAGTTTTTTTTTTAAATTGAAAATGCTTTTGCGTAAAGCAGCGGCTTGTTTTGTCATCAATTCACCATTCCAGGAACTAACCAACCGTTGAATGTCAATGATAATTTGATTTGTTCTTTTCTCTCTCTTTCTCTTTCTCTCTCTCTCTCTCTCTCTTTTTTTTGCCTCCATCAGGCCCAAGAGAAATTTCTTGGTGACATGCAACAGAAGCAGGAACTGTTTGCCGTCCAGTTGCAGGAAAGGAGGTGTATGTTGGAAAGTAAGCTCTCGCCCTGAAATTTATGGCCCGTGCCAGTGGGAATTTTCATTTCTTGTTACAGCCTGCTGCAGAGTGGTATGTGGCAGGACCTATCCCACCTTTCTGCTTGGAAGCCTCTGTTGTGCTTCAAAAGTGCCATTAAGGCCCTTCCACAGCTGTGAAATAAAAAAAAAGGCTGTCACCTTGTCAATTCTTTTTTGAGTTTGTCAGGGATGTTTTTTTTTTCATTGCTGAAAATGTGTTGCTTCCATATGCCTGATGTACTTGGCGTTAATGCCTGTATAGACATATATAATAGTTCTCTTTTCAAATTGTAAGCTTAGAAATACATCTCACAGGAACAGTTTTGATGTTATGTTTACTGGCTGACTGGCTGCTTCTCGGAAAAGCACTTTTTTGGGTTTTGCTAAGTGTGTTGGTAACTCTCGGGGCTGGGCACGACGTCCCTTGCCTGCTGATGTGTTTGAAGTTTACCGCCCCCCGACCTTTGACCCATTTGCAGATACGTTGGCTTCGCTTCAGCAGCAGTACCCCCAGCAGGACGACCCCAACAGGAGGGCGGAGTTTGCCCGCTTCAGTCAGAAGAAGCTGGAACTGAACTCGCTGGTCCAGAATGAAGCCCAACAGCTCATGGGTTTGAGAATGGTAAGGCCACGCACAAAAAAGTTACGTTTCCTCTTTCGTGAAAAAGAGGACGGGGAAAACATTTTTTTGTGTTGGTGCGAAAATTTGTGGCCAAAAATATCAGGGTGAAGTGTTTTTTGCACTTTGTAAAAAATAAACTTCCCAAAAATGTCCTTTTGTGTCTAAATTCATCTTATTGTCAGGTTGTTTTGTTACTTCTAGTTGGTTGGTGCCTCTTTGGTTATTGTGATAATGAGTAGTTCTATATTTACGAGCAAAACTGTAATATCCTAGGAAGAAATATCAATGGTACACTGATTTGTGTAACAAAACATTCTTGATTATTTTTTTATCTCTTGCTAGCCAAAAAGTTCTTTTCTTTGACGAATCATGTTGTTTATTAGACTGTGGCTGTAAGCCAGTGAGCAACCTTGTCTCAGAAATCTTTTTTTCAGTGAGCAAAGTTGACTTTGAACAGTAATCATACAAAATGAACAGTGTTTTCTCTTTGACATCCCACTAACAGTGCCCGCAATTGTCCTCAATAGCTTCAACAGTTTTCAATGTTTAAACAAGTGCACTTTTCAATAAATTTGACCCCGAAAGGATGTCAGATAGTTTTCAAATGTAGACGAGGAATAAAGTTGCGTAGAAAGTCAGTCTGTGAAAAATTCGTAAAATTCTCTGACTCTATACTATTAATATTCATTTTGCTCCCTCATCCCATCTTCTCCCGTGCCCTGTCCTTTCCCTTTTGCCTCAGCAACTGGCCAAAATGCACCAGGAGACCTTCATGATGCTCAGCAACGTGCAGAGCAAGGTCCTGGGCGATGAGCTGAAGATCTGGAAGCGGCAGCAGCAGCTGGCCGGCATCGGAGGCTCACCGGAGGGGTCCCTGGATGTCCTACAGTCCTGGTGGGTGCCGCCTTCCAAGACCCTTTCGTAATCTTAGGGACTTGGAAATAGAGACTCGGCATCAGCGCTTGAGGCAGCACCGTCAGTGTTTTGAACCGCGAGTCAGAGAATTGTACAAGTCTATATACTGCTGCCGATTTAGAGATTGTTGTTCTTGTGTGCTCTCTGTTGCGACAGGTGTGAAGCCCTGGCTGAGGTCACATGGCAGAACCGGCAGCAGCTGCAGCGGATTGAGATGCTCAAGCAGCAGGTGCCCATGAACGCACCGGCCCAGGACGTGCCGGACCTCAGCAACAACTTCACGGGCCTGCTGTCGGCCCTGGTCAGCTCCACCTTCGTCATTGAGAAGCAGCCGCCCCAGGTCTTGAAGAAGGAGACAAGATTCTCGGCCGCCATCAGGTATGAAGGCGTGCGATGAACGTGTTTCCACAAGAGTGATAGATTAATTGCCAGCAGTCTCCTGCTTCGACATAGGATCTCTTTGGCCTTTTTGTCTACCCCTGCAAGAATGTATAGCATCTCAACCTTATCTTAAAAAATGCCACGCGCCGCAACCCAGTAGTCGGCACCTGTTCTGTCTGTCTATCTCAGTGGACTCTGTTTGGACTGTCTCTTCAGTGTAATTTTTCTTTCTCCTCGTTAAGATTGCTGGTAGGCGGCAAGCTGAACGTTCACATGAACCCGCCCCAAGTCAAAGCCACAATTATCAGGTAAGACAAAATACCTCCCCCTTACCAGACAACCCTTTTGCCTTCATACAGCCGTGACACAAAAGTGTCACTTTGGAAAAAAAAATCACTGTTTGAGCTCAAACGGCAGTTTTTGTAATAGAAAGATACCTGTGGCCAGAAAGCACTGGGTAACTCCACCCAGCGACGTGCTCAAGATGCTTATACATTTGATTTCGTGGAAAGATTTCCATACCGAGACATCACGAGACACCCTTTGCACAAACCATTTGAGACAGGTCTGACAAAAGTGGGTTCCTCATCATTGCTTCAATTTTTCCCCACTGAATCTGACCTTTTATTGTCTTCTGATGGCCGACGAAACTGAGGGGAAATGTTGGTGATGTGCTTGAGTGTGGAATTCTTTCTTATCAGTGAGGCACAGGCGAAGGATATGCTCCACAACGAAAGTGCCAACTTTAACGAGACCAGCGGGGACATCATCAACAACTCGGGCGTTCTGGAGTACCACAAGGATTCCGGAGTCCTAAACGTCACCTTCAGAAACATGGTAAGAAAATTTGTCGTTTATATGCGCAATACCCGAATTGTTTATATGTGTTGGTTTGTGTTGCCCAAATATATCAAGTCACTGTTGACTTGATCTTACATGCAGGTCGTCAGGGGAAATACGTTGAGGTTCCGTTTAGACATTTATAGTATTAATTTTGTTACACATTAGCATGTGATGTTAAAGCAAAAATAGTTTGATATGTGATTTCCAGGTGGTTTTTAGATTTATTGTATTGTATTGCCCTTTTGTTCTCCAGTCCCTGAAGAAAATTAGAAGGGCTGACAGAAGAGGACAGGAGGTGAGTAGTCTGGTCACCAGACCAAAAGGTTCTGACTGTTTAGGAGAATCTTGCGATGCAGTAGCCACCACTGTCACCAGGCCCAAAGAAAATTCATTCCTTTTCAGAAAAATGTCTTGAATTTTGGAGACATTTGTCAAACTCCTTTTAGGTTGAATTTCAGTTGTCATCATAAAGGTTTGTAAATAGGCACAACACGTGAATCAACCTTTTCCCATCCAAGAATAATCCATTTTTGTAGTGGACTATTTTGGTTGCCGTGGTTACCTGACCTAACATCCAGGATGGGAGGACTGTAGGGCAGGGAACCAGACTAGGAGTGGGGACCAACAAGACAGATTTACAAACCAAATATAGAAGAAGAGTGATTGAAGGGAACCAATGCAGTGATCCCTCTGAAAAATTCTCTGACAATAGTGGGGCATTTTTTTTTCTTCATATTTTTGTATATCCACAAAAAAGACATTTTGAGAGTGTCATAGTTGGTGTCTTGGGTTTGAGATGTTGAAATTGTGTCGGGGGAGGAGTTTAATATTACCAAAAAAATGGACTGCGGAAAAATTGAAACGATGCGTTTCTATCCAAACCTGTGCAGGCTTACCCAAACTGAGCACTTTTTTGCCCATCTGTTTTGGTTGTCCAATCCTCCAGTTTGTGACGGAAGAGAAGTTCACGTTACTGTTCCGGTCCAATTTCTCGGTGGCCAGCGGTGAATTGATGTTTCAAGTCAGAGTAAGTAGAGCAGAGGATGGGAGTCCCCCCTCCCCCCGTCAGAAATGGAATGAACCTGACATCAAAGCTTGTTATGAAATACACATTCAACCTGTGGTCGGTGTCGGGTGTCGGGTGGCGGTGGCGGTTATTTAAAATGATTTGAATATAATTTTCATTTCAAAATGACTGGCCTCTTGACTGGTCCCGTGATGTTGGCTGCAGTGATCAACTGCAAATATGGTCTCAACATGAAAGTGTTCTCAACTTATGCTACCTTTACCTTGTTTTTATAATTGTTATGAAACTGTCGCGCATCCTCACGTTTATGTTTCAAGATCATTGAAACTGTCAGTGTTTTCTAAAAGGGACTTTTAAAAAACTATATATTGCTTGATTTCTGTTATCCCAACTCTATGGGTATTTTTGCACTCAAATCTTCCCCCAAACTTGTGCTGTATTCTGAGAGCAATGACATATTTATATTGAGCATCAGTACTTGGGCGTTTGATCCCAAATCTATCAAAATCCCACAGAATCATTCATTTGGTATTTAGTCAGAACTGGGCAGTTACGTGTAAGGCTAATGTAACTTTTTTTTTCCATGTGATGTATTATGAATGCAGCTTGGTCAATACTGTGTATAACTTAATTGAACTTTTTGTTTGGTTGGTTTTTGTTTCCAATGTATCGTTGGTTTTTGGATGGGATCTAACTGGATTTGTATTTTCAACAGATTTTTGTCTGCTCTTCTTTCCTAACTCGATCGCAAACTTAACCACGATCACGTGGTCTGTTTGGAGGAAAAAGTTGTTTCCAGTAACTTGACTGACAATAAAATTTGGCTGTATACGAACTGGCAGTTTATTGAAGTCTAATTTTTAAAATTCATTTGATGAAAACATACTCGGAAACAAAGTAATTCTACAATTAAGATTTCCCTCTTATTGGAGCAGATTCATTAGTAAGTACTTTCGTTTAAGCATAAGAACACTAGAACCACGTAGAAATGTTTGAAAGCCATTCTCAGTTATTCCTGCCCATTCAGCAAGCTTTGAAATCATTTCTGAGCGGATGAGGGCAACCAAGGTAAAGTTTCTTGCTCTTGCTTGGGACAGCAAACGTATTGATCCCTGTGAGGGTTTAAAAAACACTCGTATTCAGACACCAGTCAAGACATTTTGGACCCTTTTTTGGGCCAGTGTTACCGGAAACACATTTTTTTTTTTCTTCTTTGATCTGTGCTTGTCCGCTGCACTGTGCAGCAGGTGAAACTACGACGCTCGGAGGGAAAACTAAAATAACAGGAATTTCTGGTTCAGTCAGAAAAGGAAACCAGTCGGATATGCTAGCACTCCTCATTGCAAACTTGTAGAGACATTTGTTTGCATTGCAGGTTTTTTTTTTCACAAGAATGCAAGTGGCATTCAAACCATGCAATTTGCTTTACGCTTTCTTTTTTTTTGCTTGTTACCTTTGGGAAGAAAAAAAGCAACAGTTAATTTCATGCTTTCCATATCCCATTGCTCATTCCTTTACCATTCATCGCGTCAGTGAAGAAAAATCACTGGCGCTTTATAGGAAAAAACCTTTCATTGCTGCAGGTCATTTTATTAAACTTCTCAAGAAAGAAACTCTAACGTTTTGGATTATTTGAAGGGAAGGCTGCCACTTTCACATGGGTTTGAAAGCCAACATGAATTTGAACGTTTCATGTCGTATCAAACACTTGCATCGCCAATTCAACTGAAACATCAAATTGGCTTCATTCTCACATTTTTCTGAAGCACCAACTGGCCCTGACATGTTTTTTTTCTCCAAATTTCTAATTCACCCTTTACAGAAAAGAAAATAAAAAAAAAAAAATCAAAAGTCTTTCTCTCTCATTTCTGCTAGTGTGTTGTTTGTCCCCCGTTTTCCACTCTTTGATTTTTTTTGCATTCTAGACCCTTTCGCTGCCTGTAGTTGTGGTGTCGCATGGTAACCAAGAATGCAATGCTTTAGCAACCATTCTCTGGGATAATGCTTTTGGTGACTGCTCATCAGTAAGTTTTTTTTTTCCGGCCGTCCCGGCCCAGTGTTGGACAGCGAAGTGTCTGAGAGCAGGGCAGGCCGTGGGATGGTCAAAGACGGTAACAAACCCTTGCATGGCTTCATGCTAACAGTTTGCTTTGGACAGTGTGGTGTTTGCTTGCTTGCCAGCTAAATCGTTGTTCATGCTTAACCAATTAAAATGGCTATCCGCATTCTTGCCAAAAAAATCTTCCCCCAAAACTTCTCCAAAAAAAAAATAAAAAAAGATGAAGAAATGTACCTTTTATTTCTCCTATTCTACCGATTCTGAAATGTCATTTTAATTCATTTTCAGCCAATTGACACCGTATTAAAAACTGAATAACCAGTAACCGAAAAAATCAGCCAAAGGTCAATCCGTGCTTGTTCCTGCCCACATTTCATGGACAGTCCGTTGTCGTTAACACTGGGTCTTTTTTTTGTTCTTAGTCACTAGCTTGTGATGTTATAACGGGGCTCTGCTGCCCCTGGTTGTTTATCCAACAGACCATGTCCCTGCCGGTCGTGGTGATTGTCCACGGTAACCAAGAAGCCAACGCATTGGCCACGGTCCTGTGGGACTATGCCTTTGCCGAGCCTGTAAGTTTGTCGTTTGATCGTTAAACGAAAAAAAAAATGACATAACAAGGTCACGTCCGTCCCCCTGCTTCTCCCCTTCCAACCTGCTAGTCTGCATCAGGGGGTCGGCCTGTTCACGGGCTTCATTCTAAGCTTTAAGACCACTAGACTAGCTGCTCAAGAAATCTTCCAGATCAGAGAGAGATTTTTTTCCCATCTGTGGTGGAGAAAAAATTGTCCTAAGCGCTACCAGACTCGTACTTCAGATAGTTCATTGGTCAAGTCAGAAATTTTTCTGCTAACTGGAGAGGTACGAGGAATTATAGTGGGTCAAAACTAAATAAATGGACTGATATATTTTAGAGGTGGTGACTGTGTTTACTTACATTATTGATTCTGTTGCAGATAGCTAACCTTTCTCCGGATTTAAATTTTTTTTCCTGACATGACAGGGTAGGATACCATTTGCCGTCCCTGACAAGGTGCCGTGGCCGGAAATGGCCCAGGCCCTCAACTCCAAATTCATGGCCGTCAATGGTCGTAGTTTGTCCAACGAGAACATGCAGTACCTGGCCATGAAGGCATTCAGTGGTAAGACTTAGAATACGTTGTTTTGGGGAGTCCTGTGCTGATGCAGTATGCCTTATTTACAAGGCTGCCATTTTTTGATTATGATCCTGTATCTATCCTGTCCAGTACAATCTGTTCGATGGGTGGTGCCAGACTATTTTGAGTACCAAGCCTCACTTTCATTTTTTTCTTAAATGTGGCCCAAACATAAAGATATAGTTGACCAGAAATTTTAAATTACTCATCAGCATAAATGACATTCATTTGTAATGACTTTTTTTTGTCTCTTTCATTTGTATTTCCTGGTTCCTAAAATAAAAAAGTTAACATTGTTTTGAGGCTGACTTGGGAATAGAACCTAGTTATGAGATTGTGAGGTATTTTTAAATAGCTTACGAGGAAAAAATGTCATTCTGGGACCCAGGCCGTGTAACTTGATAAGCCCAGTTCTTGCGTGTGATTTCTTGGGACTTTCCCAGAGCCAGGATGTGTGACTCCATATGGTGAAATTTTAGAGCTTTGCTAAAATCATTCAGGTTTTGCTGTACTTGCTAGCATTTTGTACCATTGTGAGATTTGCGTCACATGTCCAGTGTGGCAGGTGTTCAGAGTCGATGAGGTGGTTTCACGTTTCCATTTTACAGGTCAGAACGTACAGACTGATGACTACAACAGCATGTACATCAGCTGGAGTACATTCAACAGGGTATGTCGTTACGATGTCACACTTATCACGGTTCTTCTGCCCCGGTTGAAACTGTCATTTCTTGAAGCGATCTTCATCTGTGGTTTTCTTTGCGGAAGTCTTAATCATTCAGTGTAATCATTTCTGGAAGTGATTTTCACATGTGGTTTTCTTTGCGGAAGTCTTAATCATTCGAAGTAATTATTAGCTTTTCAACAACTTTTTTGGGTAGGATCCCCTGCCTGGCTGCACGTTCACCTTCTGGAAGTGGTTTCACGGCGTCTTGGAGCTGACAAGGAAATATCTGCGCGCACCGTGGAATGAAGGGTGAGACGTCATTGATAAGTAGAAATCCAGCCTACGTGCCAGCTGCTACGTGTTTCCACAATCAATTTTTTCTGTATTCGGTACACGTCTTGTGTTCTTGTGCAAGTAGACGGCACCCAAGCCCCGCCAACAATCCATCCATGAAATATTAACTGCTTCAAGCCCTGTAATAAAGTAGGTTTCTGGGGTGATCCACGGAGGAGTTTTCCCCCCAAATACGGTGGCTCATGGAGGGAGGTTGGTTTTACAGCACGAGAAATGGGAGTAGCCTGTGCTTGCTTTATCACACCTTTTCCACGGAGTCTCTTTTATTTCAGTGGTAACTGATTAATGTCAATCCAGTTAATGATGTGAACCTGTTTGCGTACAAAATCTGTTGAAAATTAACCCTAACCCTCCTCAATCCTTCACCTGTTGGAGGACTGAGGAGTGTTAGGGTTAACAAGAAGTTTCCCAAACGGACCTGTCACAGGATGTTTGAACCCAGCTCTGTAGCGAAAGCATGTGGGAACATGCTCAACACGCACACCCATGTGCAAGTCTACACGGTATTGGTTGCTGGGGCTTTAGTTGCCATGGTTACAGTAATTTTATTGCTGTAGGTATAGTTCGTTTGGCCATGCACATCAGGATGACAAAGAGAATGAATACCATGTGACTAGCTCTCAGCCAATCAAGTCCGTGGTTGAGAGTGAGAGGTTATATGATCTGTCATCTTGTTTCGCCATCCTGTACTGCAGGTCTATCCTGGGCTTCATCACCAAGGAGCACGCCCAAGAGCTGCTCCTGACCAAGCAGACGGGTACCTTCCTGCTGCGCTTCAGCGACTCCAAGCTGGGCGCCATCAGCATCACGTGGGTCAACGAAGACCCGACCACAGGTCAGAGCTGCAGGCTGGAAGCTGCTGAATGCTTTTGCGGCACGGGGCCAGCAATCCAAGCCTCTCCGTCGCTCCACCCCCCCACCCTCCCCCCCCCACCATCCCCCCACCATCCCCCTACCGTCTTCCCACCATCCTCCCCACCGTCTCTCTCCCCTTCCCCTCCCCCTGTCGGTTTTAACAGCTTGTGTCAGCAAGCTTTCCAACCTTCAATACATGCACATCGAGTCCATATTTCAACTTTGAAGTGAATGCAGATAAATTTACGTAAGTCAGCAGAGATGCTGACCAACTCTCCAATCTTTCTTTTGCTTTCAGATAACTGGGGATCGAAATACTATTTCCGCACAAATATTGGGACCTTGAAAATTCTGCGCAACAGAGTGCATTCCGAAGTTGCAAAATTCTGTACTTTTTCTGAACACAGAGAAGAAGGTTGTTCCTCAAGAAGAATTTCTACCTCAGAGTTATACTTAATAGTGCGAGGAGGCATCCCAAACTTGCACTGCTCGCAATTGATGCGTTGCAAATTTGACGCCCCCTCCTTCCGTCCCTTCTCGACTTACAGGAGACAGGCAAGTGCTGAACCTGCTGCCCTTCTCCAGCGAGGATTTCCACATCCGTTCCCTTGCCGACCGCATCCACGACTTGCCCCACCTGACCAACCTCTTCCCGGACATTCCCAAGGACACGGCGTTCGGTAACTTCTACACACCAATGGACGGTGAGTTCCTCCGGCGTATTTTTCACTTAGTCTGGAATGTTTTCCTTGTCTCCAGCTCTCAAAAATCATGGAGAGGTCCCCCCCATTTTATAATTGGCTCAAGAAATCCCTTACAAGTGCTGTGAGTTGGTGACTAAATAAATTAACAAGGTAATTGATTTTGATTTGCCCTAGATATAACTTAAAAATATCGTTTCAAAATACACTGTAGCATTTTTCTTGCATTTTTCTTCTGTTTAAGTGGCATCACCATCTGCTTTCCAATGCCAGACTTAATGCATAATGTAAAAATCATGGTAAATTCCAAGTTAGAAAAAGTGAGCTGTTAGATTTCTGTTCACATGTATTAAGTCTGATTAAAATCAGATACTAACTTCTTTAATAGTTCAAACTGTCCAATTCATATAATGTGCTTTTCTTGGAATTTTTTTTTTTATCTGCAGAAGTACTCCCGCAAGCTGGAGATGGATACGTCAGTTCTGTACTGGTCAGTAAGATTCCCCAGTTGAGGTCAGTATCTTAATGGCTGAGTTACTATCTTTCTTTTTATGTCATCCCAACCGCCTTGGAAATTCTCCAACTTTCATTTAGTTGAGTTGAGATTCGGGGATTCATGCAGTGCCCATGGCTCTGCCGTCTGTCGCAAAGAATGGATATCGTTTTGTTGTTGGCAATCACTGTATTTCACATTTTTGCAAAGACACTGTGATTTCAGTAACTTGGGCCGTGTCCGAAACGGCCTTCCAGAGCTACGGCTAGGTCTATTGTCTACGCATCTCCGCACATCTCCATTGGAGGGAAGACCTAGACCTAGCTCTAGACAACAGATGCGGATGCAGCCTAAGGCTCCCAAACAAACTTGTATTGTGCTAGAGTGTCAATTGTTAGTGCATGAAGTCTGTAATTGGCAGAGCCAAGAAAGTCATATATCGCTGTTTTCAATTTCAACATCTTGGAAGGTCATGGAAACTTGTCCAAAACGGCAGAGGTTTTGGGAAAATTAGGGAATTTTGTTGGATCAGTTGCTCCTAGATTATTTCCTTTTGTGCAAATTAATTTTTTGTACATTTGGACTTTAGGCTTAGTCAAATTTGACCTTCCATTCAATAAAATATTTGAATACTCGGTTGCACTGAATTTCCTTTACAGTACAAATTAAATTTGTTTAGTTTTTAAAAACTTAAAGAAAATGTCTTTTTTTGGCCTTAATGTGGGTATATGTATTTTCAAGTACATGCACTTACACCTTGAAATATGCATTCTGATGAAGGTTTGTAACTAAGGATTTGAATTTCCCTCTTTTTTGAACTTCATTGATATTCATCTCTGTGTGCTCAATTTTGAAAAAAGGAGCACTGGGATATTTGACCAACAGTTGAATATCTGGATATTGGAGTAATCAGTTTGACCCTCATGTATGCACGGTGCATTGGTGACATGTAGGCGCGGACAAACGTTTTTAATGAGCAAGGTTTCAGAAAGCAAGCGCACCCCCATAGACCTTGTGACCGCTGAAATATTGAACTGAATATAACAGCAATAGAATTTGGGTTCAATTTTTTTTTTTATTTAAATGATTACAGCGCTCCACCGAGCTACCCGATTGAGAATCCCGGATCTGTAGAACCAGCTTCCCCACAGCAACAGCCTCATAACAGCAGGCAAGAGTTTGTGGACTTCGGCGGGTAAGTGCAGCCTGTTGTCGGTGGGGGTGGGGGGTGGGGGTTTGGGGTAGGGGTGATGGGCAGGACGGTGCATCACGGAGGGTTTTCTTACAGAGGGGCCATTTTCAGTTTTGCAGTCGTCATCTTGCATTACATTATTCCGACATTAGGTCATCCCCTCTTCACTGTTGACCTGGGGCATCGTGCAGGACAGATGCATTTGGAATCACACAAACAGGGTTCTTGAGACGAATTTCCGAAGAGCAACCAAACTTGTTTTAGCGAAATGCGCATTCTCTACAGAGTGCTGAATACAATTTGACTGACAGCAGTGACTAGCTTTTGAAGAATCACGCAACTGTTTTTACCGTACTTGCAAACTTTCCAGCTGAAACTACATGGATATAAATGCGGCTGGAAAATGCCGAGTGCTAGTGTAAAGGGAATACTGTTCAGTGTATGGACTTTGGTTGTTTGTTCCTAATGCTCTGAGAAATGACCCTCTCTGTGGTAACCGTTCAGTGACCCTCTGTATCGTGGACTGCCCGTTTCTGTCAAATTGTTTGTTTGTGTCACCGCGGACTCTGTTCGGCAGATTAAAACAGGAGCCAGGGGAGGAATAGATTCTACTTGAGGTCCTTGCCAACTGGCGTAGATGTTATAGATACATGCCGATGGTGGGTGGAAGTAAATCTCTGTTGAGAGTGTGTGCCAACTTGATTGGGGTGGGGTGACGGGAACATTGGAATTGTCAGAAATGTATCTTAAAGCAGGGGAGTCATTGAATTGGGTGAAGTCTTTTGAAATCATTTTGATACTCCAGCCTGGGCAGGAAATTTTAATTTTTTTCTGATTTGTCTCTGGTAACATGGGGAATGGGCAATTGCTGCAAAAATGGCCCCCCAAGTAAGTGCAGATTCGTCATTTGACTTGGGCAAAATTTGCCAAAACCTGTGTTATTGTTCCTAGATCGCTTAGTGGCTGACCACATTACGCATGTAAACAGTAAGAGTTAAAATCAAAAGTTAAGATCAGGAGTAATTTTCCACAAGATCTGATGCAGGGTTTTCATAAAGAATATTTCAGATACAAGATCTGCCCAGTGGAGTCATCATAGCAGTGTTTTCCTCTATTCTTCTTGTCATACCAAAAAGTCATTTTTCAAGTTCAGGAAACTGAAGCATCAACTCTGACTCAGCAAAAAAAGAAAAATTGGTGGCTTTTTTGAGCCTGTTTGTTACAGAAGTGATAATTACCCTCCCCATTCTTGGGCTAAACTGAGAAGTTTGCCATGCCGAATTTGCCACAGCATTTCTGCCATGCTTTTTTGCCGTGGCCAAAAAAAAAAAGCCAAAAAAAAAGCCATGCCCTATTTGCCATGGCTTTTTTGGCATGCATTCACATTTGTCCCAAACTTGTTCTCTTCTGGCTTTTGGTGCAGCAGAACTTTCTGGTTTGTCACCAGCAGTGGGACAACTGTGTGTGCGATCAATCTCGTTGACCTTCGGTTCATGTATGAAATATCTTCCGTTCTTTTGAAGTTGGTTCTAAGTGATCACAAAACAGAATTTTTAATAAGCATGCTGCGTGCATGCCGTTGGTTTTTAAAATTAGAGAACTTAAAAAAAATTACTGTTTATGTAAATGTGGATTTTCATTTGTGGAACTCAGTGGAAACATTTTATCATACATAAAGAATGTGCACACCCCACCTACAGTAACAAAAGAAAAGGAAGAAAAAAAAGGACAGCGATAGATCATGGCTGGCAAAAAAAAAAAAAAAAGCAGCACGTTCTTGGAACTTGCTGTGAGTCCTCAGATTTCGGAGGACAGAATTTGCCAGACCTCCCCTGCCCTGGGCCGAACGCCTGCCCTGGGTTTAAGAGTCTTCGTAATTCGGTTGTCATCAACGGCAAACATCTCGTCAGCGGTCGGGCGCTTTTGCAGTCAACAAAAGCAAGAAAAACCTCTGCATTCTTTGATCTGTATGATAAGATGGATCCATCAATTTGAACCAAAAGTGAAAAGAGAAAACAAAAAAAAATTCAAAGCAAATTTCAATTTTTTTCCTTTTTTTTTTTGTTTGTTTCGTTTGGGATCTCTATCTCTGCTGCAGGGGAATGGACGCAGCCAGCCCCCCAAGCTAACAGGGATCTTTGCCGTTCATGCCCGATTGATTCCTTTGTAAATAACACCAACCCACCCCTCAGTCGCAACGGTCTCCGACTGTCTAAAAGGACTCTGCCTACCCCTTCTTATGTTCAAAGAGAGAGAAAGAAAGAGAGAAGGAACATGGCATGGAGTCAGGGAACCAGTTTGGATTAAGCAGGCTGATAATCCTTTCTTTGAAGTTTCGAAGAGGGGGAAGTCCATCAGGAGAGAATCTGGAAGGATTTTTTTTTTTATATTTTATTTTTTTGGTGGTAATTTGATGGAATCAGGAGCTATGAGACTCCCTGCATCGCCAAGCTTCTTTTTTTTCCCGTACCAGTGAACTTCTCCACTTGACTTGCCCCGTTTAAGGAGTGCGCGTCAATCCCAGCAGGAGTTTGACCCAGCCAATTTTTTAGCAAAACTGAAAAGCAATAAAGAAATGAACTTAAGGTTTCAAAAAGATGTGGGTGTTTAAAAAAAAAATAGGTGGAATCTGTTCACTGAAAAACAAGAAAAGTAGACGGAAAAACCCAAACACATAAATGGGACACTGTTGATGGCATTATTCTTGTTTCGTCTGAGAATTTGTTTTCTGTGGAAATATGTTTTTCATCGTGTAGTTTAAGAAGACATATTTTAAAAAAAGAAAAAATTTGGAGAAAATCAGAATCATTGTGGTAAACCTTGTGGAGCTATGTTTTACAGCATAACCGTTTAATCTGAGTACTTGTGGTTTTCCTGAAGAATGACTGGTACGAAATTGAAACATACAGCAAAACAAAATGCAAAAAAAGTAAGTAAATAAGTACATAAATATATAAAAATAAAAAATTAAAAGACGTTGAGGCTAAGGGATGGTCAGGCTGTGTTGGCTGGCCAGAGTCAAGCAAGGGCACTCTCAACTGACAACTCCCGATTGGAGGTCGCATCTGAATGTCCTGGCTAGCTTACAACTAGTAGTGACAAGTATGGTTAAGTGGAAACCGCAGACGTAGTGGCTGCGTCCTTACAGCTAGTCACATCCAAGACGTTTGAAAGCGTTGTAAAGTCCGGGGTGGGTTGCACCAACAGGGTCTTAAATTTGTTGCTTAAGCAGTCAGATCAATCATGGCCAACGGGCTCTCTTAGCAAGTCTTGGATAGGACAAAAAACGGAGCCTTCATAATAAGCCAGTCTTTACTTGGCCAGCTTGGAAGAATAATTCACGGGCAGGTTTGTGGAATTATTTATCTTCCATTCCATGGGCAGATATTTTATCCCAAACGTAGACCATCTAGGCTAACTCAGGCAGGCAAACCTTATCAAGATGGGCTCAACACATGGACTGCTTCTAAAAACCAACTAACTGTACACCCTTTAAGACCAGTCAACATACACAAACGTCGTCAAGACTAGTTCTTGCAATCTATTCCTTCTGATTCAAACGTGAGAGGCAGTCTGAATTTTCTTTTCCAAAGAAAACAAAAATTATAGAAACCTTGTTAACATTTGCCATTGAGTTTCTCACTTTGACGTTTCCTTGTTTAGCTTTTGTAAGTTTTGATCTTGTGTGTATGATGCTTATGATTTTGTATAAATGCATAAAAAAGTTTCTATACATATTAGATATTTTCCAGCTAGTGTGCTTTGAGTGCAGTAAATAAAGCCGAATAGAAAGAAAAATACATTGGCCAATTTTAAATGCTTTGAACAGAGACTCTCTGGCTAGAGCATTAATAAATGTACCAGTTTTCCTACTTCTTTTTCAACAGATTGATAAAATAACCTAGAACTTTGCCAACTTTATTAATGCTATTTTACTCCAGCAAAATGCAACACATGGTGTCATGGCATTTTGATCGATTCGGGAATGTTAATCACTTTTTTTTTCCATTTTTTTTTCTGCGGCACGTGACGTGTTCATCTTTTAAAGAGAATTGGCTTTTAATTTACAACATAGTGTTGACTTTTCAAGAAAGATTCTGGCTTTGTCAACATGGCTGTCAAGTCGTCCTGCCTTGGCCAACCAGACATTTTTGCCACATTTCAGACATTTTGGCACTTATTTGAGGACTAGTTGCTTTGACAAATACACTATACTTTTCCAACCAAACTAAACCAACAAAGTTTCTTTTTTGATGAATTTGAAAGAATGTTTCTATTCGTTGCTTAGAAAGATTTAGAAGAACATTCTGAGTTGAAACTTTTTTTTTTTTTTATAATTTTGTCATTAGTGGAGTGTAAACAAGGGATTCAAAATCAAACAAACTCACAGGAAACATTAAAGGTCATTATTTCCAAGAGAGAGAGTGCAGTTTTTGAATGCCCAAAAACTGTACCCAAATTTCAAAGATCGACTCACAGAATTTAGCAATTTATCAGAGTTCTGTAAATGTTGGGAAAAGAATTACTTCAATTTTTTTTTTAAATCTCTCACATGGTGCTCAGAGACGGAAGACATTTTCTTTAAACTAGACTCGTAGATTAGTGAGCAGTGACTAAAATGTATGTACTAGCATGATGCCATCTTTATACAGAACAGAAGGTAAAACTATTGTAAATAGATCTCTTTGCAAAAAAAAGTCATTTTTTATTTTTTAATGTTTAATTGCTCTTACTGTAGGAAAAGATGAGGTTTTAAGTGTGGCATTCCATTGTTTAAAAGATAAAACAAATTTTGAGTGAGCTTCTGGGCAGATTTTTCTGTTTTTGTTCAACCAGGGGAAAAATATGCATTTTTGCTGAGATTTGGACTTTTTGTTTCGCTTGTGCACTGTGTTGTGAAATTGTCAAAAATCCTATTAATGTAAACTCATTAAATTCTTACAAGAGCAAACAATGTGAATCGCGAAGTTGGTACTGTGTATACTTTGGTTTTATTTCTTGATGCCATGATTGAATGTTCTTTACGTTTTCAAGTGAATTTCATCCATTTCCTCTTTCATTATTGAACTTGTTCTAATAGAAATTCCAATAAAATGAGCAAAAATATCCCATCAGTAGAAACGTTTTTGCAGATGGTGAGCCAAAACTCATGAAGCTCATAAAGCAAAAAAAAAAAAATAAAAAAATAAAAAAAAAAAACCCACATAATTATGATTTGAATGAACAAACTTAGAAACTGAGTAACATGACCGGGTGTCTTTCACACTAAATTGTGAGAGACAGTGCAATTGGTGTTGCACTGAACAAGTCTTGCCGAGTGCTGCATTGCTTGAGGAATTCCTTAATCAGAACTGTTCCATGCTCCATTAGACAATACATGTACATGGGACTGAAGATAATCCCAGATTCCAGTAACAGCGAAGTGGAAAGCTGGATCCAAATTTCCAGACTTGTTACTTCGGCTTTTTATTTCTAAGGCAGGGCGGAGCTAAAGAATTACAATGGGGAGGGCTTTACAGTCATTTGCTACATTTCATGTACTTATGCACCCCCTAAGTTTATGGGAATAGTAGCTTTCAAGACAAGGGATCGCAAATCAGAAAAAAAGGGCCCATGCAGAAAGTGGGAGGGTATGACAAGTGGGCGTGTTATGTGATATTATTTTGGCATGAGTTGGGACACCCTCTCTTGTCCAGTGATTTGACAATGTAAGGTTCATTTGTCTAAGCCTTCTGATATGCCTTACACTAGAGATATGAGGTAATTAATAGAGTTTATGAATCGGTGGTGGAGCCATCAAAGCTCATGGGATCTTGGTCTAGTTTCATGGAGTAGGTAAGCAGAAAAGGCTGCTTTTCATGGCCACTTCTTGTTGAGCAGAGATCGGCTGTGAACCAGTCATGTGCAGTATTACATTGCATGACATTTCAGCCGGTAAACCCTTTTCTGTGCTAAGCGAGTGGTTTCTGTGCTGAACCCAACCCAACTGTGGCAACTCTGTCAAATTTTGCATTTACAGTCGCTGTCGGAATGCGTTACTCAAAAGGCTCATGATAAACTGTCTAAGTTGGGGAACCATGCCAAAACTTTAAACTACGCTTTTCCTGATCAGAACGATAGACGTTGCATTACTTTTGCCACCCATAGGATTGCGTGCCTATCCCAAAATAGAATCGTAACGTTCCGCTATTTCTTGTTTTGTTTCTCTGACAAAGCATTTCAGACTTTGATGATATGCTGGAGGATCGCGAGCAAGAAGAAACACAACTGGCTCCAGACATCAACGAACTCCTCAAGGACTTTGACACGTTCGACATGGATCCTATTCTTTAAGATGAAAAGGTCCAAGGTTAACAGGTCACTGGGCCCCAGGGGTCGCTCTTGTAAATTTTGTATGTGCTCCCTGAGGGCAAGCTCTGTGGAGTTGATAGTTAATAATCAGGAAAAGCCTTGTTGCTGTTAAGCAAAGTTAAAATGAAGTCGCACATCTTGTGACTAATTTTGTCCAGCCCATTTTATGCTTTGTGCCTAAATTGGCTAACCCTGGAAACCACTCATTGTCTGTACACCTAATGACTTGTTCGGTTGGTGACCTTGTTTTGTCGCTGAAGCGAGTTCCCATCACTGCCTCCACGTGATTGGCCTCAGGTCTGTACATGTACATAGTCGTTTTTACTAACTTTCAAGAATCGGCACACAGTGGTCACAGACTGGTATTTCTGCTATGCCGTTATACTCTGCAGGTTACAGTCTACTGGCAATGCTGCCTCTCCATACTGTTCCGCAGAGTTCTAGAGAGAGCAGACACTCTTGATTTAATTCATGAGTGCTGTAGAATACGGACCCATCCTCTGGGGTGCAACAAGGGTATGTTGCCTGCAGCTCAGTGCGTAGCAGGGAAAAGCCAAGTTGGCTCATTGAGAGAATATCCTTTGTAAATAAGTATTACCTGCCAAAATGATGGTTAATGTGGCAATTTGTCAGAATTTAATGTAGGTGGGGGATATTCCTACAAAGATTCACTACTTGTTAATGACAGTAGGTGAAAGAGTTCCTCATGTCGCAGGTACATTAATTTTGAACCCATCAGAAATGGACGAGCACGACTTTTGAACAAACAGAAAGTGAAAATGTAGACAAATCTTTCACCAAAACTTGAATGGTACTGACCAGCTAAGTTACGAGTTCTATCTTCATGCAGAACTCACTAGTTTCAGTGTAATGTGTCAAAATGTCCAGTGGCAGGAATAAGCACACGTGACTGAGTTTCTTAGAGTGTGTAAGCAGAAAAACAGGCTCTGGTAATTTGTAAACTAAGTAGAAATTTGTGAAAGTTACAGGGAGTGAGTTGAGCATGACACTTTTGGCCTTCCCTCTGTTTCTGCTAAGCAGAAACTTGTTTGTGCTCATGTATGTGATTGTTTGCCTGGGCTCTCTTTGTATTAAAGAGTGCAGTTTTTAGAAATTGGACATGAATCGTGGGCTTAACCTTCCCAGGACTACTGATATTGGAATTTTTGATGATTTTTTTTTCTTTGTCAATTTTCGCTGTGTTTGAATCTAACTCTACCTGGACAAAATATGTGATGGACTTTTTTCTCACAATGTTGCCCGAGTTTAAATATGTAAAAATAGAACCAACAGGTCAGCTGATGAGTATGTATCTCCATGCGCTTGACTTTATTGGTGGATATGAAGGAGGTGGTTTTTGGTAATTTTTAGTATTTTTTTTTTGGTGAAAAAGTTGTGACAGTGCTCATAGGCTGTGTCCATATGTTATGGTTGTGGCTGTTCCCCATAGACTTTGTGTTCCTCCTAGCCATAGCTGTTTGGTTTTGACATAGCCTTTATGGAGTTGTGCTTTCACAAGCTTTTACACTGTTTGCTCTTGTATTACCCCCCCCAAAAAAAAACTGCCGTACACAGAATTTAAGTACACTGATACCTCTGATGGAAGTGAGCAGTAATGTCCTGTTTTTATCGCTTTTAATTTTTAATCACGTCGGTGTATACATACAATTGGTGTGCTCTGTGTGTTACGTAATATGTATACATGTATATGTTGTCAGTTTCACATATTCATTTAAAATTAGTCCAGTCAGGTTGTAGCTAGTATACAGTGATGTAAACTCAGCCTGTAAGTGGCTTTGCATGTTGGCACGGCTTATCAAAAAGTGACTACCAGAAAACCGACAGCCAGAACGTTTTCCACACCTCCAGGGAGATCAAAACTGAACTATTTCTGTGTACATTTGTTACACAGCTCTTTGTGATGTTTGCGTGCCACAATCCTCACCTCCTGTACAGCACCAATGTGATTGACGACCAGTGTTTATTTATGTTGTATTCTGGAAACTTAGAAAGACAGAAAAAAAAAATTATCAAAAATATTTGCCCACAGAATTATTTTTATATTGTTTTTCAGCCTGAAGCATTGTTGAAAAATGAATCCTGGCTAAAATTCAAGCCCACAGTTTTTACAGTATTTTTGAATGGATCTCCAGACTGCACTGGCCTGCTGCTGATACTTTCTTTTGGGTCTCGATGTCCCAGTTTTGTCTGTGTAAAGAGCAAGCTGCTGCTTCACTCAAACATTTGGGAGATTGATTTAGATTTTGGCAAGCTTCCTATCGAATAATATGTACGGAGTTAGGGGGTTAAGCAATCCATAAATTAAGCTGGGATTTGAAGTGTATACTTCGAAGCGAGAAAGACAAAAACTTTATCCAACATTTGCTGGACTCCCCCCACCGTGTGTTTCACCTGAGAATATAAAATTAACGACGAGAGAGGGGGCTTTTGCAAACAATTGGAAATTCTACCTTGTAATGGAAAGTCTTTTTATGAGGGGTGAAGATAGAAATGTCAACCCCTTCAAACAAGCTGAGTGAAGCATACTGTTAAAAATTTTATTTTGGTACCTCTGCTGCTTGCATTTCGTCTTGTTGAGTATACGCTTGCAGGAAAAGTTTAGTATTTGTACCTAAAGCATTGTTCTGTCCCTTGTCATGCGGACCATTTAGTCATATGCAGCTGCGAATCTTGAATTCTGTTATGAACAACTGTTGTAAATTGTAATGCTTCTCTGACGCATGGGTGTGTGTGGTGTTTCCCTGTGAGCTGGCCGGCATACCTTCTGAATAATTAAATGCTTCCATATTAAAAACCCGAGGTATGCTGGAGTCTTGATCAAATCCTTTCCTTTCTGCCCATATCCCCGAATGGTGCTGATGGCTACTTTAAGTTGTCTCATTATATTTGTAGTGACTGTACAAATCATTGTAGAAATCAAGTAGTATGAATTTCTTTCAAATTTAGAGCTTTGTTCTTTGTGTACTGAACAATTTAAGAGTAGATATTAGGCTTGGGCAACTTCCCAACTGTTCTGTAATTAATGTCACTTGTTTTGGGTAGATTGACTCCAAATTTCCAAGAAACAAGGGGAAAAAATTCATAATACTGTTGAACTAAACTATACAGTTGTGAGTCATTGGGAATTTGAAGTTATCACAGTAGCGACGTGAAATTGCTTTTGGAGTCTTTGGACTTGAGGGGGGGGGAGGAACCGAGGTCAGACAGAAAGGAATTGGAGTCCTTTTTAAAAGAAGAAAAAGCTAATTGAGATCCTGTGATTCTGAACTGGAATTGCCCAACCTAGTGCTGTAGATGAATAGATTTTTAGGCCAGAATATATTTTTAGGCCAGTGTAGATAAAAAAAACTACATTAACAGACTAATCAACGAATGTGAATATATGAAGCTGGTAACAAACATTTGTCTTGTTTGACACATGCCAGTTATACTTCAAAACTGACCCACGGTTGATTTGGCTGAAGAGACTTACGCAAATCACGATCAAATATTTTGTGTACTTTACATCAAAAGAAAATGAATAATTTCATTGCCATTAAGGTAGGGTTGGCCAAAATCTACCTGCCGGTAGGCACTTACCTTTAATGGAAGTGAAATGCCTCATCTGTCGATGAAATACCTGGTCAACATTTCTGTGACTTTTTTTTAGGACAGAACACTTCCACTGGGGATTCACTACCATTTGACTTCCCCTAAGATGAATTTTCTGGGTAAAAAAAAAAAAAAAGTCATTTGAAGTAAGTAAAACTTTTTGAATGTTTTCCAATGAACATTCAAACCATCTACATTACCACTACTTGGACACAGAGCTGAACTGTGATTTCAGTGCAGTTTTATTTTCATGTAATGTTATTCATTAGTATTGGTGTAGCATTGCAGACCCTTTGCTTTGTGTATCAAGTGCTGTAAACTGAATAAAGCAGGCAGTGTTTAAAAAATTTCTGCTGTTATGTTTTATTTTTAAAATAGCGATTTGAATGGGTTCTTATTTGTAATAATAAAGCTTTTTTAATCAAATTGTTATTTTGAGACGTAAGGGGTACAGTGTCCAATATTTCTCATATTCCCTCCTCTAAAAGTCTAAATTTCTATATGCAAACCAATCCAAACCTCCAAGTTAATACCTTCTCCACATTAAAGACATGCAAAGTAACACTGGGCACCTTCAGAGCTGGACCGCGACATGGCAGATCTGATGCGATGATGCTGATGAATGCATCATAACCAACGCCACTCATACACAATGCGGAACATATAGCTTAACGGAAACAGTTGAAGAGAAGGATCTGCAAATTTTCACAAAGAGGTAATAGAGATTTTCGTCACAGTGTGTGGCAGCAGTCCAGAAAGGAAACCGAGCCCTGCGGATGATCTCAGCTACAGAAGTCCTGAGCGGCAGACCCCACCTGGAGTTCACATGAAGAAAGATGAGATCTTAGAAAAAGTACATGTGGGGGGCAACCAGCTCATCCCAAGTCTTCACAGGCCTTGTCTTATGACTAGAGTTAGGCACCACCTGACTGCCAGAACTAGAAACAGTTCAGGGAGAGGGGGGGGCTTATCCAGACCGAATTATGACTCAAATCAACAGGATCGATCAGCCTAAACTCAGTGTTTCAGAAAGCTGACCACCATACCAGAGGTGATTCACACGTCCGAATTAAGACTTGATACCAGAAAACCTTTCTACAGCCAAATGGTTGTGGATACTGGAATAACTGCTCGTTAACTTGCATCCTGGCACCCACACTTCCCTCTTCATGACATGAAATGGAGGTGTGGCCTTCAAGATATGTTCGAGATATGTATACAAAATGAAAGGGTGGTGATGAACAGTCCAAAGATTTTCCACCATCAGTGCATGTTGCTTTGTACACAGTGTTCCTCTATGCACTAATATCTATACACACTGTATACATACATGTACATGTACGTGAGTCATGTAAAGTATACATTGTAGGGATTTCCAGAGCTACAACTAGGTCTGTGCTGGGTCCTAGCTAACCCTACAGGTCATAGTTCACTCCAGCTACCTGCTGTTGTGGCTCTATGGGTATACAGAAGCAATGGGGACTGCATATCCATCTTTGTGTATCAGGATCAATATACCATGGCTCTATTGTTACATGACACACATCATAGTTCGCACCAGTACAAGCTACATGTACAGTGTACATGTAGTACACCAGCATAGTACATGTACTCTGCTGATAGAGTAACACACATGACATAGTACATTGTTGGTACAGTGACTTTCCTTGCTCTGTGCTCAGTACCCTAAAGATGGCAGACATTGCCACAGCTAGGTTATCTATTTGATCTATGGGTATTTGCATTTCCAGTGGTCTAGATAATGTGGAGTTATGTGCATGCTGCAGCTCTGTGACATTTGCTACATCCTGATCGACAGGTAGGGTGCATATGTTCAGTCTAACCTTGTTAATAAGAGCACTGTTAATACAAGAGTGTGCTTATAACGAGGATAATCATAGGTCCCAATCCTTTGTTTATCATTGTTTTCATTCCTGATAATGCAAGGTTCCTGTTATAACAAGGTAATTTGCCAAGTCCGATGGGCCTTTTATTAATGAGGTTCGACTGTACTTGTTGCTACTTCTTTTTATCAAAAGCGATAAAGTTTTGTATGTCACAAAAAATGGAAGTTGAGCAGTTTTTGAGAAATGTCAGGGTTCAATCTGTGTTGCTGATTGAGGTGCAAGATCGATTTGCATGCATGGTCTTGAGGGTAGCTAGCTATTAAGTTCAAAGTGTATTGCAGACAACTTACATGCAGGTAAGTAAAGAAAATATTGATTGATGGGATTGATGAGATTCATAATCTACTGCAGTATTGCCTCATTTTCTGTTTTATTTGGGCTAAGATTCACTTGAAGAAGCATGGCTTCCTGGCTGGTAGTTGTTGCTGCACTGGTAGCCTTTGCTGGCTTGGTCGTGTACCTCATGGACCAGGTCTACCTAGACGTGAGCGGCCGCTACGTATTCGTCACCGGCTGCGACTCGGGCTTTGGTAACATCCTAGCCAAGTACCTGGGCCGGAAGCGGGGCTGTCACGTGATTGCAGGCTGCCTGACGCAAGCTGGTGTGGATAACCTCATGTCCTGTGCCCCCAAGGGGACAGTGACGGCCATTCAGATTGATGTGACCAACACCGAGAGCATTCTCCGGGCTCGCGACACAGTGACAAAAATTGTGGCTGGAAAAGGCAAGCATGAGTTTTACTGGAAGGACATACAGTGTAACACTTTACATGTAATATTAGTATCCAATTAAACTCCAAAACAAAACCACAGCCATTAAACGTAACAGGAGATCTAGCCAATGATTGTTAGGCGAGGGTTGTGTAAATATTATAAACAAGCAGATTAGTGTCATGGGACTGCAATTACAATGTGACACCTCAGGTTGTGTATTAATTGACTCAGTCTGCCCACCAGAACACCTTAAAAACAGTCCATGTGAACACAGCCTTTTCCAGGGCCTTTTCGTTAGATACACCTTTTTGCAACTGCGTACTCTTCTCTATTTTATGAAAACTATGTGACATCTTCTTGAGCTGAAGTGTATGTAAAAGTGCACTTTGTAAAACTTTTTGAATTGTTCATGCTTTCCAAGAGAACAGAAATTGTTGTTTTTGTGATGCTATTCAGTAAAGACACTGTTCAGTTTATGAGTTTATCTCTTGAAAGTGTAAAGTTAAAATTTCCTCCTTGAAAACATTTCTTAGAAAGAACTATTCATTGATCTCAAGCCACAGTGGGTTTCCAAGAAAAGAGGCAATTTGCATTGTAAAATACAAACACATCCATTATTTCTGGTACTAAAATCAATGCAACATACAAACTTTTCTTCCTAGAATGACATCACAATTTTGCTCATGAATAATTAAGTCCACATTAAAATAAAAGAATGACACCAAAATATCCATTGTAAAAGTAACAAAATGAAACTTTGAAATAAGGTTAATTGAAACAAGTAGGTTTATTTTCAGGGGTTCCGGCTGTCTTAAAAAAAATACACTGCGTAGATTCTTTAACTGTAGATGTTTTATTCTCCACTTGCATGAACAGGTCTATGGGGTCTGATCAACAATGCTGGTGTGCCTGGTAACCCAGTCCCTTATCACTGGCTCAAGAAGCGAGAAATGCAGCACATTCTGGACGTCAACCTGATGGGTACCGTGGAGGTCACCAACATCTTTTTCCCCCTGTTGCGTCAGGCCCAAGGGCGAATCATCAACTTGTCCAGTGCCACTGCAGTATTCCCAATCAGAGCTGGGGCCTACTCCATGTCCAAGATAGGGGTGGATGCGTTCTCAGACATAATGCGGTGAGTGAAGGAATGACAAAAGATTTTTTTGAATTTAGAACGTTGTCCTGTAACTAACGTGGCAGTTTTTTCCCAGCAATTATGGAAGGACAGTGTCATGTGACACACAATCTAATGGAACCATAGAAACATGCCCAATTTGAAGTTAGAATTCTTAACTGTTTTAAACCTCCCTGAATCATCAGTAAGATACTTTGTACACATGCAAAGTTTCTACTCAATCCTTTCTTGTGATTCTTGAGATAATTAGTGATTTTATTGCAATGTCATATGACTACCGATAATGTCGTCATGATGAAAAGCTCTGAGACACATCCTCAGATGATGATCAACACAGACTGAAGATAATTTGATTGAGATTAGTCCCAACAGTGAAACCAAGAACCGAAAATGTGTCCAAACATATGGAGAAGGTTGGGAAAGAGAAAGAAAGAAAGAAAAATAAAGAGAAAAAATCCCAAGGAAAATAGCTGTTCACGATCAAAATCAGGATCAGCTAATGAAGTGTAAATAAGTGACTGGATTTGTTAAATTTTTGTTTTTTTAATTTCTACACAGCGTCAGCTCCAAAGCATTCGGTGTGACAGTTCATATTCTTGAGCCCGGCTACTTTAGAACAAATGTTACATCTGTGGACACGATCATACCTGCAATTGAGAGTGCGTGGAACAGGCTACCACAGCAAGAGAAGGATATCTATGGCCAACAGTATATTGATACATGTAAATATGAATGCCATGGGATTCATCCCTCTCTCCACCCTCGCAACTTCTTACAAATCCATCCAGAGATATAGTAAGGTTTCAGAAGATTATCTGCAATAGTCCCAATGCATTCTTGACGAGAACTTCTCTGTATCTTTAAAAATCTTCCACTGTGCGAGAAAGTAGTGGAACATTTGTATTGTACTTCAACTCTCAAGGAGCTCAGGACAGTTACACATATCATATCTTGTCATAGTTGTCTGTTTTTACTTCCTTTGAAATCCACCCAAGTTTCTTGATGTATTTCGTAGGAGCTGAGAGGATGAGGTTTACCAAAGGTTTAGTCCAGCCACTCGTACGGTACCTAGGATGCAGTTGGACAGATTAGGTACAAAGAATTCCTTGTAAAGTGATGAACTTTGGAAGACACATAGAGGTGTAAAAATAAATACCCAGTGTACTTGGCAGAGGATACCGACTAAAAACATAAGCTATTATCTTGACAACACATGAGCATCTTGAAAACTTATACTGCCTCCAGGTGCAGAAGTCTGGTATAAATGTTTTATGGAGCAGTTCTGAATAATTATATTCACAGTAGTCTACAGATCAGTTAAAACTTTTTGAGCTGCTGAGAAAAAAAATACCCTTCTCATCTGCTAAACTTAAAGTAAAAACCAAACAGAAAAAAAGCACATTTGTTACAACAAATTGTTCATATTGTTATATTAATAACACTGTATGAATCTCTCAAAGTGTTTCTTTCTTGTAGGAATGCGATGGCTGTTTACAACCTAATGTACATGTTAATTTTTGCTATTGGCATGTCAAAGCAACTAACTGCCATTCAGGTTTCACTCTGACAATCTCTCTTACATGCACTGCAGTGAAGGAAAAGGCAAAGCTCATCCTGGACACTTCGTCACCAGCCCTCCACCTGGTCACCAATGCCATGGAGCACGCCCTCTGTGCCCGATGGCCCTGGCGACGCTATCTGCCTGGCAAGGACATCAAGTTTCTCTACAAGCCCCTCTCCATGCTGCCGGCCTGGCTGGCCGATTTCCTCGTTTGCAAGCTTGCTGAAATCCCTGTGGCTCAACCTAAGCCGACCGCTGTGGTGACTTACGCAGCCGACAATAACCATGGTGATTTGTAAACCACTGTTGCTGTTTTTATATCCATTGGGATATAATGTCTGCCTGTTCACTTGGTTTGGGTGTTTTGTACACTGGAGAACTGCATCTGACGTTGACATTACATGGGGCATAGTGGTGTGCATATATCAGATTGGAAATAGGGCACCCATTGAAGTAAACCATGGATACCAGCAAAAATACTCATGAAAGAAGTTTAAGCCCAACATTCAAAGAGAACAAAAAAACAGTATGTGCGGTAAACAACACAACTGTCAATTGCGTCCTCAAAAAGTTCATCAAAAATCTTTATATATATCTGCATGAAATCCATTACAGCATTTCATGTAGTGTGCTCTTTTTAAAAACATTTCCATACAAATATCTCCAAAAAAACTTTCTTCTTTTTATGACAAGTTTTTATGGGAAATGGGCTGCACTCGTGTAGTGGGCCCTACCTTAAAAATATTAGGTCTGAGATGCCCTTTTGATGCGCGTTGCTTACAATGTGCACATCATAATGGGTGCAATAGTAGCACTCTGTAATAAAAAACTAGGTACTTCCAGTGTCTGTAACCCTCATTCATAAATACCTAAGACAGCTTAGCCATCCCTATTGGTTTAGAGCCGTCATTTGGTAGGTCTTAAAAAGTTGCACTACCTCAAGGGTGTGGGTTGGGGGGGGAAGGGTGTAGATGCAACCCTCCATCAGCAGAAGGGAGTTCTGCTTGAGGTGTCATATTTTTATTTTTTAAACCAAACAGCAGTACGTTATTTTATTAAAGTGAAAGTATGTGGGGTTTTGATACACGATGACCGAAAAATAAAATAGCAAATACATGTATCTGGGGCAATCTGCTATTCGCATGCGGTCTTAATTGCCTTCCTCTTTTAAATGCTGGAAGTTGGAGTTCTGCTTTCGTGAAAATCACAACCTCTCCTGGGGCCAAACCAGCCTACGCCCCTGTAGTATGAGACACGTGTGCCAATCTCCATGTAAGGAGATTGTAGACTGGTTCGCATCCCATACATAGCCTCTGAACATAGGGACCGGTAGTGGGTAATGAATCCGGCAGAATCCTGCCGGGTGTGTGTAAATGAGGAAATGATGCCCGCTCATTGCACACAATCGAGCAGGAGCTGATAGGATATTTTGTTTCTTCTTCATTGCCGAAAATAACTTCACCATAACTTGCTCAGTAATCTAAAATTTAACAGTTACCACAGATTTATCGATGATAATCATTGAAAAATATATTACCACACTGTGATCAACAGAGGCTTAGCAAGGATAAATACTTGTGTTTTATTTGCCTCTGCGCTGAAATGTCATGTTAAAAGCATTGTTATTGGCCTGACAAAATCTTAAATATTCAGCATCCAAATTGATAGGGCTAATCGTACACGTTGAACCTCAGCTAGCTACCAGTCCCTATTTAATAGAGATGGGGACCAGTCCAAGGAGATTGGCATTAATGACTGCTGGTGAGAAGCACATGCCATAACATGGCTACAGGGGTGTCTGAAAAATATGTAAGTAAAACTGCTCAACAAATAATTGGAAAGTTTAAAATTTCAAACCAGGCTTGCAACTTGAAGTTTGACCCCCCCCAAAAAAACAAGGGAATGCCAATCTTTACAAGATTTTGTTTCCAATGTTTAATGGCATGACTTTGAAGTGAAAAACAAGGAGGTCAGCTGATCAGAGGAAAAGTCCCATGCCTGTAAAACTAATTTTGACTCTCTGACTCGGGAATTATTCACAAATGGGAATAAACTATGTGCTTTGACTGGTCTTAAATGTTCGTTCGAAACAAGCTCAGGCGACTGGACACTGGTAATGTCCCCCGCCTGCGGCTCATGTATTATCAATGTCCATTTTCTTGATCCAGTCTCAAGCAGTTGCATATGTGTACGTAGACTTACCATGTGTACAGGAACATGAAGATGGGTGTTGTGCATTTTCATGTTGTAACATGGTGGTGTAGAGGGCGCTCTTTTCAACTATCTGCTGGCACCATGCCAGAAGTAATAATGCCATGTTGCAATAAATTTAGATTTGCTGATCTGTTTGATTTAATTACATGACCAGACAAGGATAGGACTAACAACAGAGTTTGAAACACGAGAGTAAGGTGTCCTATACTTCACAAATCTTCAAAATTGCTATACATTTTACAAACCGACCCGCACCACCAAGTTAAATTACAGCATTTTTATTCATTTTATCAGCAACATTTACATTCAAATTTACAAAACAAAAAAATGCATCTCACATCAGGAATTATCTTGAACACGTATTACAATTGGAAAATTATATCTTTAAAAAAGAAACGTCTACAAACAAACACATTTAACAAGGATTTTGAGAATAACTATGGACTTTTCGAGGTCAAACACCAGTGAACAGTGGAAAGCTTGGGTTCTATTGGATTAGGCCAAGGCAAGTCTGAACAAGAAATGCTGTTAACAAAGGACTTCACAAATAATACTGAACTGCCATGTCTCTTGGCATGACCAGAAGTACCAGAAAGATTTTCTGAGTGTTTGATTGAAAAACAAAAACAGAAACAAACATTGAGAAGAAAGCACATTCCTTATTTTCATGCTAAATACAAGTGACACTCAAATTCACTGTCGATGGTAATTTTTAACATTCTAATCCTCCAGAAGACAAGGGGGACATCGCTATGCAATATATATTTTTATGCACAGACATCATTACAAGGTTTTGGATTAGAGGCCATTGTATGAAACGTAATAATTTCAATTTTTTGAAACGATCAAAAACCAAGAAAAGATTGAACAAGCACCAAGCCTTTCCTTACTCTGCAATGGATAGCTTAGCTTCTATTTATTATCATTACTACAATCTCGACCATAAATTGCCTATTCCTGGCCTTAAAAGAAACGTGCACTCTACCAAAGTTTGAGCACAAAACAAAGTATTATAGATACAGTTGTACTAGGTCAACAGCTCATTGGATGAAATCCTCCGTAACAAATGCTGAACAATTTTACTTTGAAACTTGAGCAATTGATGATAGCAGAAATACCGCAGGTCACTTCAGCAACTTTGCACAAATTAATCATTGACACTATTGCTGAAATGTAAACTTCAGTAAACCTTACATTTAAAGGCGATGCTTACTGCTGCGGGTGATGTGTTCACGAGAACCAACAAGGCTTACCGCGGCCCTTCTTGCATGCACACAGGGAGTCCGTACACAACCGGGGAGCACCCGATGAGGTGCTGCAGCTTACAGGCCTGCCTGGCTTCCGCCATGCCATCCAGTAGACTCCCTCCCCCGTCCAGCCAGGACCGCAGCAGCTGCTCCAGGAAGCGGTCGATGTCGCGGTCCGTCACGTCCCACAGGTTGGCAACCAGGCATGGGCTGAAGAATTTTTAAAAATGGTCAAATGTATGAATTTGCCCCTGGACAAAATCCATTTGCATCTAGTTCTGACAAACTGAGCGCATGGCCAAAGTGCGAATACATGTATAAATTCAAATATGGGGTGTCACTATGCTCGTGTCCATGGGCAGGCACTTTACCACAACTGGCTCTTCTTACCACCAAGGAGCCATGGGCACGTGAGTTGCTCATAATTTGTCAAACACTGAAGCGTAAATTACCCTTAGATTAAAAAAAAATAAATAAATAAAATTCTCTGATGTGAAAGGTTCGTAATCTGGACACAAATGGATGCGCTCAAAACTTTTAAGAAAAAATTGTAGGTGAAACTTTCGAACTGCATTTGCTGCTATGATGTTAATAAGATGGGTCGCTCCTTTACAATATACAACCTAATTGAGGTAAGGTTACCAAACAACTAAATCCACTTTTGTGTTCGATCCTGATGGTTCTATTTCTCAGGAAGGGAAAATCTGAAATAGGTATAAAAAGGTCCTGGGTTTTTAGCATTACCATTCGGCTACAAGGTAGTTCAGCACCATGCCATTGGCCTCCTGGGTACCAGTGACGTGGAGCCGGCCGCTGCTGCAACCAATCAGAAGGCTCGTTGCACGGCACGTCAGTCTTTGGATGTCGTCGCCTGTCAGGAATTCCCGCCCGTTGCCATGACCACAAAAGCTGCAGGTTAGGGGAAAATTTTTTCTATTTTGTTAAAATATTCACACTTTTTACAGTAGCTTTTTTTCAGATTTACAATCATATTTGCCACTCCGTATCTGCCTTGAGCAGAAGCACCCCCTCATCAGTTGAAAAGAGCCATGTTGGTAGGAAGTGTTCATATTTTTGTTAGCAATGCGACGGCAATACTAGCATTTCACAGACGTTCATGAACCAGCGAAATGCAGTTCCTACCAAAGGAGTCTCCGCTGCTAGGAAAATTGTGCCCTCCCTTGGTACAGCTCAGAGCTCAGAGAATGTATGCACAGTGCACCAGAACCAGGGGCAGTTTTTGGTGTGTGAATTCATTGACAATGAAGGTTCAAAGCACCTACTCGCGCAAATCACTGGGAACAATAGCCTTCCTTCCATGATAGTGCATCATGCGAGTGCTCTTTATTTGAGGGAAAAAAAATGACATTCACTGCATTGTTAAGGCGTATTTCTTGCTACATAATTGTGTGCTGTTTAAATGCTATGAATCCACTAAGAATCAAAACATGACAAAAAACCTCTCCTTTTAATGCACACACTGAAATATACAATGTGAACATCTACTGCTTAGGTCTCATTTTTCCAGCCAGACGGTTGGGTATGATTTTACATAGTGAGGACCGTTCTTTGGTGGGAACGCACCTCTTGGGTGTAGACTGATGATAGATGCGCATTTGGCATGGGACCTGCAGAGCATGCCCGCCCATTATCTGTAAGAAGGGATACTCGCGTGGGTGCCAGCCACATTCACGAGGTCAGTTTGGAAAACTTCTTAACAGTTTGTCCCTTCTTTGCCGGCAAAGGTGCGCTTGAACTCAGAATGGTTTAATAGCCCCAAACAAATTTTGATGTCAACACTGACACTGGACGTACGAACCAACCTCATGAAGCAGGAACCAATTTCTTAGCACTGTCAAGCAGAGAGTTTGCCTATAGCATAGAAATATACGCGTAGCAAATATGTATGTAGGTTATCGGCCAAAAGAGCCATACAAAGTGTGTGAACTTCAGCTGGTTCTCCGCTCATTTTTGCTAAGCACGGACACCTGCCAAGCAACATTTTTTTGCTGTGAAATTGGGCTCAGGTTATCAACACTGAGTGACAGGGCCTAGCTACAGAAAAAAAAAAAGGGAGGTTGGGAAACTCACACAAAGAGCTGGTGGTCTGTGAGGGCAGACCTATACTCCTCCTTTGTGGGTGGTCTAGCGACCACACCCTTCCATCCATTCTCCCTGAAGATGGGAACAAATTGTAGAAACTGACATGAACGGTTCACTACTGAGAGACTGGAGAAACCACAGGGGGAGATTACCAACTCATGGAGGGAAAACAAAAAGTGGCTCCTTTTTTTCATTTGTGCAAATACGTTGATGCGAGTAGTGTAAGTAGTCCACAGCTTTTCCATAAAGCGCTGCGTATGCTCTCTGTGATGCATGCCAAAATCCAACAAGTGATAGAAGAATTCAGAGTAACTGTTTGGGATCTGGATGGTGACTTATCCTATGGAGTACCGAAGTGTGATGTCTCTGTGAACCAGAAAGTGCAGTGTAAACGGATGGAGTGCGCGCGCGCGTTGGTTCACACGCTGGTTCTCGCGCTAATGCCTTTTACACACTGATTGTGCGTGTGACGTATCCACTTTGGTACTCTTTTGTGATAATTTTAATTAATTTAAAGAGCCTTACAGCACTGCAAGAAAGTTGTCATTTTCTTAAGACATGCAACTGGTGAGGGTGAGAAAAATTAGTAACTTGAAACCAATCCCAAACCAAAACTGCCGCCCCTAAAATACCAGCCTATCACAAGCTTACTTCTCAAACCACTTTTGGAATGTCTTCTGCGTGTTGGCAAGGTCGTTGGACGGGTTCAGGACGTAGAAGGCATCGGATGGGTCTATCGGTGGTGGAGTGGAAAGGCAAGTCGGGGAGGTGAGCTGGGTACCGCTGGCCCTGCGGAGCCAGGAGAGGATGAAGTACAAGCTGGGCATCCGGCAGACGGGGCTCTCCCTCAGGATGGGGGTGGTCTCCCAAGGCAGCTGCTGGATTTGCTGCCAAAAGTATAAGGACAAAACAGCGGTTAATCTATGTGATTGAATTTACTGTTAAACAAGTCTGAATAAGCCAATTCGGAATTTCAAAAAGCCAAGGTCTTTCGAGAACAAAGCGCATGCATGAGTCAATGTATGGCTACACTAATAGGACTGACTATTGTGCGTGCGTACTGCTGTTCCCGCATGACCTCGGACATGCTTCAGTTTGGGCATGCACTGTTGGAATACCGATCTGCCTCATTGATTCATTCATAACGCTGATTTCATTGCTCTTTGTGTATCCGGAGAAAAAAGAGGCCCAGGGGTGTAAGTGAATTATCCCTTCAGATGAAGTGTTTATTCTCAGCTTCAGGTCTGACTACTTCCTGGGCAACAACTGCTTCAAAGTAGACGTTTAAAAATGGACTAGGCAGCGATGTTTGACGAGGTCATGATTGAACTTGAAGTCCGACGTACCTTGTCCAGAATGAGAATCACTGGTTCCCTGCGCGGTGTTGGTGCCAATTTTTCAGCCAGCTGCTTGACAGAGGCCGTAAGACTGGAGTGCTGCTCAGAGCCGGGTGAGAGACCGGTCAAACTGGCGAGGGCGCTGCTCAGCTGCAGCTTGCTGAGCTTCAGACATGATTCCAGGAGGCACTAAATTGAAGACGAGGAATGACAAAACATTTTTTAAAAAAATGTGATCTAACGGCGGAGATGGTAGCAATTCAAAGTCCAATTCAAGTCACAAGTCCTTTGGTCTGGTCACAAGTCCAGTCAAAAGTCATTTGGTCAAAACAAAAGGCAAGTCACAAGTCTCTCTGTTAGAGTACAAGTCAAGTCACACATATTTATCCTAGTCACATGTCAGTAGGATAGACCAGACTCGAAGTCAGAATTTGAAGCTATGAGCCGAACAAGGTCCTTTTTTTAAATTTCATGCAAGGCATAAATTGATAGACCTGATTTAAAAGTTGACGGGGTCGCTCGAGTAGATTCTGACTTGCATTGGTAACAAGTCATCTCTTGCAAGTCCAAGTCAAGTCACAAGTCATAGGTGGTGGTTACAAGTCAAGTTACAAAAATAGCAACTTGAATCTCAGTCGCATGACTCAAGTTAACAATTCTAGCAGTGCCTAAGATGACAAGATCAGATGTCAAGACTGCACAAAAGGGGTGACACGGTGGGAAAAATGCTGAGCAGATCTAATAAACTTGTTTTACGGAATTTACAATTGCTTTGGTATTGGCATATAGAGGATTTTCAGTCACGGAAGTTTCAATGGTCAACATTCAATTTACGCAAATGTGTGCAGAAATGCTTGCCATCGAAATCTCTCAACCCTCTGGCATTCATGAAACTGCCAATGAAAATACACAGATTTGAAAATGCAAACGCCTCCACAGACATGGTATGCGTTCTGCAATGTCTTTGCCCGTCATGTAACGTCACATGGAAAACCTCTATAGCGCTCAAGAACTATAACAGGGAAACTTTCTTTTCAACAAAGAAGAATTCAATTTTGGGGGGGGGGCCGAAAGAGACATGAGTCTGAAGACACAAAAATGCACTTGAGAATGACAAGAGGTGACAGAGGGGCCCTTCAGAAATATCGTTTTCAAATTTCCTTTTTTTCAGCAGCCTACCTGACACATCTGGGAGTCCACCGTTCTCTGGCAGGCAGACTCCACCAGGCTCTTGAACTTCTTGGCAGCCTTATCCATTGCCTGTCTCTCCTCTTTGCACTTCCTTGCTCCGATCAGAAGTCCCTTCCACTGCCCCAAGAAAGTCTCCTCCATTGCCTCGGTGAGGGCCTGTGGATATCCGGAGAGATACAGACCTTTAACTCACATCAAGCTACTATAAAAATGTTACGAGATGTTACAAAGCACAAGGTCCATTTTTTCAAAACCATCATTTAAGGCTATTCTGAGGGAAAAATCTTGACTATCCAAAATTGATCAAGCCCTGAATAATACATTCTCCATCATGCTAAACCCTTAACCATGAAATGATGGAAGCAGAAAGAGGACATAAATGAATCCAGCAATATTTCACTGGACATTCCTGATGGATCCCTGTAATGGTGGAATCCTTTGTGTCAGGCTTGGGGGGGGAGCACATGTTAGGAAACGGCGGATCTGTGTAAGAGTCATCACAGTGCTTACCACCATTGGTGGGGGCCGCTGCAAATGAATAGTAATCGCGATAGTGATACCAAAGCCAAGGATTTTGTCAAGATGGAAAATGTGTCAGCGAGTGGCAAACAGAAAAGGCTTATTCGGCAGACCTGCATTCGCTGGTCCAGCTGCTGTCTGCAGGTCCACCAGGCTCTCTTGTCTGTCTCCTTCACGCTCAGCTTGCTCTCGGCCAAGATGCTGTCAAACTCCGCCAGGAGGCTGGTGGCTGATAAACCCAGCCCACCGGTATGCTGCTTGCAAATGAGATAGAAAGGTAGCAGTCGGTACGAGCCCGAGCCATAAAGAGCGGTGTTCATTACCTAGTAAGGGAGCATCTCAAAAGTCAGAGCGCTAAAGAATATGCCAACGCAGGTGTGATCAAAGTTTTCCCTAAAGGAAAGGACATGTTGACTTTTGAAGTACTCCCTAATACAGTAATTTGCAAAAGTTTAAGACCACCTGGAATTTTATTGCCATTTTGTTACTGGGCCTGCATTACATTGTCTCACTAAATGATTACTTAACATGTTTTTACATGGTGCATAACATCAGTGCAGTGCTATATACCAATTTGAGTGAAATTCCTTAAGTATGATCGAGGGCTACAAACCCTAATCACCATGCTAGTGTGGCTAGTTCCTTACCATAGCCTGATTGATGATGACTGGCTTGTGACCACTGCTGAGGCGACACATGACCAAGTGGTCGGCATCGGTCAGGCTGCCGGTCAGGGACACACTGGATGAGACCACAGACAAAATGCACACAGTCCATCCTGTGAACGGGATTGATATCGTTCCAAAAAGTGATGTAATTTGTGTCCATGTGATATTTGGGCTAAAATATGAGGCCGTGGAACTCACTGTTATACATGTGACAATACGACCTTAGTCACAAGTCACCAGAACCTCTTCTGGCCTGTAAGCAAAATCTTGTACAATGGAAAACCAACAGAAAATGTCAGAGGTTTCATTTACATAATGCCAGTATCATCAATAATATGCAAAACTCAGTAAATGAACATGAAGAATGATTTCTTTTCCAATGCATATTAAACCATGTGACAGGTTTTGCTCTTTAAACTGTATGCTGTTGCAAGGATCCTCTTTACAGAGAGAGTAGACTGTACATTTTTGGGGGATCCAGTGGTGAAGACACAGGGAACTTCGGCATCCCCCCTCAGAATCCTACCTTGCATATGGCACACTGCTGAGAGTGTATGACTCTTACCCTCGGGTAAAGCGGTCAGGGTCTGCTGCACCACGTCTGGCTGGGCGTCTCCCACCGAGCCCTCGCAGAAGTTGAACAGTGCTCTCTGCTTGGCCAGATGCTGTAGGGTGGCCCCGTGTGGCGTGCTGGCCTTGCTGCGGCCGTCCAGCGCCATCTCGGCCAGAGATTCCGTCAGATTCTGGACGCCGTCCGCGTCAAGCTCTTTCTTCAATTTCCTGAATTGGGAAGCAAATTGAGATTGGGAGAGATGAAATGGAATGTCATAAAAAATTGCTGACAGATAAAAATTATGCCAAGAATCTTAAAGAACTAATTGTCCTCTAAAAACTTGTACAAAACTACAACAAACCACCACACTGAAAACCAAGACAAGTTTAAACAGGGAGAGCAAGAGAGAATGACGACTTCAACTCACTTCATCTTCTTGGCCAGACTAGCCAGCTTCTGGTGACGCAGGGTCACAGCTGCGGCCTCGCTCAGGTAGTAAGCTGCCTTCATTGGCTCCCTGTCGCCGTGGCAGGCAGCCAGTAGCTGGCACACACGGCGATACAGGAGGGAGGGGGCACGGTGACAAACCTGGGCGCTGATCTGCTCCAGGCCGGCGATCACCGAGTCGAGACTGGTGTCTGTGTAAGGTTGAAAAAAGTTCGAATACAAGATCTCCAGATAATGAGTATTAAGGGTAAGAAGAGTGCATTGAGTTGATTACCAGAAACCAAACTTTGCCACCAACGGACGCTTTTCTCTCACGAGCAAAAATCATTTACAACTTAAGGTGGGGAAAGTATAAGAACTAGGGAGAAAGTGGATTGAAAATGGGTCTGCATTCAGAATTTAGGCCTCAAGCAGTGAAATTCACAAGCCAATATAACTTGGAGAATTGTGCCTCTTTAAAAACAGATGTGCCTTTTGACAAACACTTTGACGTTTCTGATGTGGTCACAATTAATTCAGTACTGAATACATGTTCACTTCAGTGACTTTCATGGTCATCATGTTCATGATGCCATCTTTCAACTGTTGCAACACTCTCAATCTAAATCTACAAGGGAGGACTTTTCATTGTATTTTTGGAAAGAATGTACTGAAATCTAAATTTATTCCACTGTGCCACACTAGAGGGAAAAGTTCTATCAGCAATTTCTGTAAACAAAGTCAAGAAATGGTCACTCTTTCAGCCCTGACCTAAGTTGGATAACCCAGTTTGAGCGATTCCATCCTGGTCAGCAATAACAGCCTGTTGCTGTGGCCTTCTCCTTGTTGACAGAGCATCCACGGGAGCATTCTTTGCCCCTCTTGGTACCTCGGTATCTTCAACAGTCCATTTTTTGGCAGTCTTCCTTCTGGATGTTGCTGGCTTCCGGGCTGTCTTACGGCGGACATTGAGGGCGCTTCTGGATTCGTCAGAGTCTGAGGCCGCTCTGGGGATTTCAATCTCGTCCAGATCCGGCAAGGCGAGAGAGGTTCTCTCTGAGAGAGAATCTGGGGTCGGGATGTCACGAGTTGACGGGCTGCTCTCAAAGTCAAAGTTCAGACTGCCATGGTTTGGGCTCCCGGGAGACAGTGAGTGCACCTTAGTGGGTGATTCCAGCTCCAGGAAAGTTGGCAGAAGATCCAGGAGCATATTGTTGCTGACCTGGTTTACGACCTCTGACCGCAGGTTCTCAACGTTGGGCTTCCGGCCTCGTTTCGATCTCGTCGCTGTCACCTTGGGCTCGGCCAGTTCTGTGTCTGCTGCTCGGGGTTTTCTACCCCGCCTAGGTTTGGTTTCTGTGTCTCCTACTTGGGTTGGTTGTATAGACTTCTGTGAAGGCTTGGATGTAGCACCTTCCCCCATTAGGTCCTCATTTTCTAGTGGATTTGAGAAAGTTTCTGCATCCAAGTTGAGCCTCACTGACTTTTTGGCTGTTTGTCTCTTTGATTCTGTGGCAGTCTTACGGCCTTTGTTCTCAGTTTCATCTTCAAATACATCGCCATCATCTGAATTACACAAGTCTATGATCTCAGTGCTGCGCTTGCTGATTTTTTTCGCACTTTTGCTGGACCTGCCACGTGTTGCTTTCCTCTTCGTCTTTGTGGGACTTGGCTCATCAAAATCAAATGCACTCAGCGGAGCCGAGTGGAGAGGTGTGGCCTCAACCTCGACAGTTTTCTTGGCGGGCCTTTTCTTTTTGACACTGAACATCAGGGCTCCCTTCTTGGACCTTGACGCCACGTTATGTGGTGTTGCTTGGACAAGTTGCTGTAACTTTCTGCTACTTTTGGTCGAGCAAGCTGGCATGTGGGAAATACCGTCGGAATCATCCTCATTATCGCTTACGTCACAGAAGATACCCAGCTCAGTGACTTTCTCTGAGAGTTTCCGAGACACTTCAGGCCGCTGCATTCTTTCAGAGAACACCATGTCTTGGAACTGGGTCTGGTGCTTGGTCCCTTGCTTGCCCAGGTCTAGTTGGTGAAACTGTGAAACAAGGTCTCCTTCGTAAGATGGCACATCCTTGTGATGTCTACTGCTTGGCTGCAAATCCCATGTTGAGAATGTCAGATCGCCAACTGTTGTCTCAGTTGCTCTTGCCTTCAGTTCTAGCGAGACAAGGATTCTGTAAAAATGCAACCATGCCTTAGGAATGTTTTCATCAATGGATAGTTCCAGGCCTCCTGCGATAGTGTGTTCAGCCTCTGAGAGATTGCCATTCAGTAAAGTCAGCCGTGTGATGCATACGTGAATCTCAGTTGTTGCTCTTGCATGCAAGTTGACTTGACCTCCGCTGCTTCGACTGGGCCTGGCCAGTTTCATCTCCGGTCCTTTAGTCTGCTTCACCCCTTCATCATTGTGTAAGCAAGAGGAACTCCTGAGCAGGAGTGACGGCGTTTTCGTTGCACTCCAGTCTCCAATGTCCAGAGCCACTCGTAGGTTTGCGAGAGCTTGGGTTGGTTCGCCCTGAAGTTCAAGCCTCTGGGCAAGCCGCAAGAATGATGTCATGTCTTGCGCATGGAGGGATACGTCGGCGCATGAGGCACACAGGCAGTCCGACGGGTGGGAGTGGTAGCTGGGCAGCTTGACAGTTTGAGCTTTCAGCCAAGGAGAGGAAGAAGTGTCCGTGTCTTCAAGACGCCATGTTGTCGAGGAGCACTCGGCAGAGATGGAGATCCGCTTTGTCCTGATGAAGTTATCGTCATCAGTCTCCTCATGGGTCTCTGATCCACTACTGCTTTTCCTTTCATCCTGAGTAACCATTGATGCACCTCTCCATCTTGCTTGGGCTGCTTTCTCCGGAAGGTGGAGGATTTGCTGGACCTTGGAGAGGCTGGCTTGGCAGTCGTCTTCCTGACCGCACTGGACGTGCAGGTTAGAAAGCTGGAGGAGGAAAGCAACGCTCCTGTGGTGGAGAAAAAGGAAGAAACATTTCAGGAAGAATAGTCTTTTGACTTAGGCAGCTCCTCAGAAAATTGTGACCAACTTCCTCAACAGGCGACTAAACTACAGAGACAAAGGTTGAGCTCACTAATTACCAGTGGCACTTTGGGCAACAGGAAGCCATAATTCCAATGCTTACTTCAAAGCAACTTTTAATAGCCTGACCACCGCTTTGCATATTTTTCGATAAGCTATGTTTTTTTGCTGCTTGATCACAAAATGAAACTTACAACACAACTTTTCACAAATAATTTAATGTTTAGCATTTGAACACTGCAGTGCCGCACAAGTCAAGCTCCTAGATTTAATACCCAAAATCACTACAACATCTGAAATTTCATTTTGAATATAAGAAAGATGAGACAGCAAAATAGGCAAATGGACAGACAGGCACACAGAAAACAGCATCATCTGAGTAACCTCCTGGGCAGCATGAACTTGTCAGCCAGTAGAAGGCCCTCCTTGAGGTAACTCTTTGCCTCTCTGGTGCACCCCTGCTCCAAGTACAGACTGCCCACATCGTACAGTGACCGCAGCACGTTGGCCAGCACCGTCCACTGGTTGAACTCTAGGTCATTCCCTCCTGCAAGAGTTTTGGAAATGGAGGGTTACATTCTCATCAGGTAGAATTTGCCCCCGTTAGGATGTCTTCATCCTGGATCGTCCCCCCTAAGGTTGAGCTGCATATGCCAACACATAGACTCAGTGGTCTCTCCAGAGAAAAGCACTTGCTGACTGAACTCAACAACTGGCTCATTCCAGATTAATCTCCTGCTGAAGAATATTGAGGGAGACAGGGTTCAGACCTGTAACCAGCAGAAAGGTCACATCAGCTATTTGAGCACGCCTATGGTGGCACAGGTGGCAGATGACAAGGACCGTGCTCAAGCCTAGACGGGTTCCACAAACCCCCTTGGGATTAAAAATGCCCAAGCGCAATAAAAGAGGGCGTGTTTTTTGGTACTCACCGCACAGGTGCGTTTATAATGGAGATCAATGGCGCGTTTGAGGCGCTGCATGGTGAGTGAGCATAACAAATTTATTCCTTAATGTATGATCTCTGCGTACACGCAAAATGCATGCAAGAATCTGCCTGGGAAAACTTACAACCATCCGTCTTTCTTTTGGGGGTGCCCTTCAACTGGGAGCGGGTAGTCTAATGACGTAGAGTTAAGTGACTAGGGGGGCAATGCTTGAATCCAGCTTCGGTCAATTACCATTAATCAAGGGTGGCCTATAAAGGTTTAACACCTGGATGACTAAAATAACAAGAAATATCCTGCATCCGTACCCGAATCATTGCCCACTGCAGCCAACTTGAATCCCTCTCCTTGCAAGCTCTGCTCATTACCAAACACCCCCTCACCAAACATCAGCCTGCCCACCCCCATCTGCAGCCGCATGGCTTCCGCCTGGAGCTCCAGCGGTGAGAGGTCGTCGGGGACCAGGCCGCGCAGGACAGATGCGTCCTGGGACCGCTCTGAAGGGGGACGGAGCAGGTAGAGGGCCTGGAGGTGTTTGATGGAGGCGTTCCGGAGGTAGGCCTGCCGGGATCGGCGCTTGTGGCTGTGGATCTGGAGGACTTTCTCCAAGAGCGTTTCAAATTCTCCAGTCTGGGAAAATATAAGTCAAGCTTAGGTTAGGCGTTCTGTAATCTGAACATATCAGTGTTTCTAACAGTGAGTAGGACCTAGTACTGCTTTGCTGAAAGACACTTTGCAGGTCCACCATGGGGAATCAATCTCTTCTATAAGAGTGGTGATTCTGAGAACCGGTGAGTGTGAACTCAATGTTTCTATCAGGATGCTCTAGTCGTCCTCTGAAGAGAATAACGATGCCACAGCTCAGCTACAGCTGAAAACAAGCAATCTTCTCAGAATTTCCCACTGATCTTTCTTCCTTGCCAAACGGGTATGGTTAAGGGACAGGCAAGATTGAAGGACTTAAGCTTGATGATGGCTTGAGTCACTGCTTCATTAAAAGATTGCGGGGCAGACTTTGCAAGCGAGAGACATACCTTGTGGGCTGCCAGCACCACGTAGCACTTTGCGATTGTGAATGCCACTTGCAGGCCTGCCCCGTCTTCGCCCTCCGTCTCTGCCTCTCCCATCAAGGCCTGGGCTGGAGCCAGGAGAGCTGTAGCCTCCTCCACCGCTCCCATGCGACAGAGAGCTTGAATGATCTGGCAGTAGGCCAGGACGGTGTCTTCGTTTGATGAGGTGGAGATGGAAAGAACCACCAAAAGGTTGAGGGCTTGGACTTGCTGTATGGGCTGCAAATATTTTTTAAGACACATTTTCATCCCTTTTGAAACTTCAATCTGATGAAGAAACATGAATCTCTAAAGAGCACTCCCGTAAATGTGATATTTTTTAATCACAAGACCTTTTGTGTTTTCATGTAAGGGATGCTATAGGCAATTGGCAACTTTGAAATTACTTGATTGCTAATGAAATGTGCATCTGAAAAACCTGGCAAAAATCCTACATAAATGCAAAGTTTAAAATCACAAGGTTTCTCATTTGAAGGTGGTGTTAGTGGTTAGTAAATCAAAATATGAAATTGGACAAGACTTTATCCTCCGGTATTAGTTTTTTACCGAACAAAATGATGAAAACTTGTAACAAGTTTTAAGTCTCCCAATGTCCGATTTCAGACCTAAGGAGACTTAAAGATCTCTTGGCTGAAAGATCTTGTACTCGTCAAAACTTACGTTGGCGTGTCCAGTTTGATCGTTGACTAACTGGTTTGTATGCAATACGGCAAAGTGTCCCATCCAAAAATAACACCATGCACTTTTTCATCAAATGTGAGTCAAATCCCTTACCCTGTCGGCCAACTCACACAGCGAGGCGGCCACCTTCAGGCAGTAGGACGTGCACGCTGGGTCGTTGAACATGGACTGGCTGCAGCCCTCCGCCACCAGGTCCATCCAGATGTCCAGGGCCCTGTCCAGGGGCTCGGTAGCCGAGTGCTCCGTGGCCAGGGTGTAGCCTGAGGTGGACAGCAGGTAACTGGAGGCTTTGTCCTTCTTGATGGTGGCTGGCTCAGGGCAGTCTGCTCGAGTGGACTCCCCTTTGGTGTTGGCAAACTGGGACGTGATATAGGTTGCCTGACCAAAGAAATACAAGTGTCATGATGGAGTGAAAAGAGAAAAAGAGTAGAACACCTCTAATAGTGTCAATGAAATTTGTACCTGAATGAAATCTGGCTTATTTTTACTTATATAGTATCATAATGTACCCCATCTGTGTCACACGACTTGTCTGC